GACCTCTTCCGCACAGATTGTCCGTCGGACATTTGAGGCGCGCACGGAATGTCCGACACGGACGTTCTGGGCGGATAAAATCCGCACCGATCGTCCGCTCTCTATCGATCTTTAATAGGCGGACGATCGGTGCGGGTAACATTCTACGCGGTCACACCGGCTTACGTGTAGACACAAAATTGCGGGCCCGAGATTATGTGTTACAGGGGTTTGATGGTCTGGAGGCGGCTTCAAATTGCAGGTGATTTTACATATTGCGTTTACATTAAAGGTAAAGACCAGTATTGGAAACACCCCAATTTCAAAAAATGAAATGGAAGCTCTCATTACCAATCATGTGAAAGAATATGTTTTGACCAATACATGATGATAAAAAAATTGCCGGGAAACCGCCTACTAATTCATATATTTGGTAAATTTGTTTCTCTCATGGTCTGTGAGAGATATAGGGTTGTCCCATATACATCTTTTTGTGTATAGTGCTTGTAACTTTACGAAAAATGGGCCAAATTTCTTATCATTTTGATGATTCCAGAACCTTGCAGATGCTAGATGCTAGATGATCAACCTTTTCTGATCGATTCCACAACGTTTCTTTCACAATGCAATCGCATGACCATAACTGGTCTTTACCTTTAAAATTATGTATAAAAAGACATCAAAAGCATGACATTGAAATAGGAAATAATTACATTCAAATCGTTTAGAAATTGGAAAAACATAACATGACATCGACACAATGCCCAAATATACGTCCCATGACGAAAATCCAATTGAATCCCCATAATGTCCCCGTTGAATCCCAATTGGCGATTTGGAGTAAATGGAAAGTGAAACAATGGGTACCCATTGAAACCAATTGGCAATTGATCCCCATTGAAACCAACTGGCAATTGGTTTTAATGGGGACCAAAAAAAAAAATTGCCAGTTGGTTCCAATGGGACCAAATTGCCAATTGGTTTCAATGGGTACCCATTGTTTCACTTGTACTCCAAATTGCCAATTGGTATTGAATAGGGATTCAATGGGGGCATTCAATGGGGATTCAATTGGTATAAATCGATCCATTTAGAAGAACCAGTGATAATTACTGATACTTCGTAATCGATATTGGCAATATATGTCCACCAATTAGGTATATTCTAATCTCATGTGCATTAACTTCATCACAAAGATCATTTGAAGTGAATTCAAGAGTTGCATTAAGAATGGCAATGGCTCGTACACATATATATATTATATACTAAATATGTATATTAATTGTTTCTTGGTTAGTAATCATATAATCAATATATCTATTGCTAAAACGTGAATGTAATTGTAACATGATCAGACAAAACAATCTATTGGTTAATAATTGCCGAAGGAAAAAAGAAATCACAAAATTGATGTGCATTGTCATAATTTGCTTAACAAATCATGATAAATTTATTTTTCTGTGACACGTGTAAAGTGATAATGAATATTCATGAGATGCCTAGTTTGTTGGTTTCTATTGGTTTCTGTTGGTTTCTATTGGTCATATTGGTCCTATTGTTTTTTATTGGTCTTATTGGTCCTAATGGTTTATATTGGTCAAATTGGTTTCTATGTAGCATAGGTCCTATTGGTTTCTATTGATTTCAATTGGCCCTATTAGACTTTAATGGAATTTCAATTGGTTTCAATTGGACCACTTGAAGTCCAAATTAAGGCCAATTGGTCCAATTGAAACCAATTGGGGACCCATTAAAGTCTAATGGGGCCAATGGGTCCAATTTGTCCAATGGGGCCAATTAATCTGGACCCACTGAAACCAATTGGGGACCCATTAAAGTCTAATGGGGCCTAGGCCAATGGGGCCAATAGGGCCAATTTGTCCAATGGGGCCAATCTGGACCAATTGAAACCATCTGAAGTCCTATTAAAGTCCCATTGAAACCCGTTAAAACCTATTGAGACCAATTGGAACATATTGAAACCAATTGAAACCAATTGAAATTTCAATTGGTGTTCAATTGGTTTCAATTGGATTTTCGTCTAGTAAATCGGCCCCAAGATTTTCAACATAGCTTTAGTACACAATATCCCGATCCCTTGCACCCCCCAGAAACTCATCCCAGCCGGAGGGACATAGAGAAAGAGAGAGAGAGAGAGGGGAGGGGGGGGGGGCAAACAGACAGAGACAGAGACAGTGAGAAATAACGATAGACGAAGATAGAGAGAGAGAGGAAGAGGAAGATATAAGAGAGAAAATAAAAGAGAGAGAGATACAAACAAAGAGAATAGAAAGAGAGAGCAGAAAGAGAAAGAGTAGAGAGAGAATTAAAGAGGGGAGGGGGGGGGGGTGGAAGGGAAGGATCGAGAAGAAATCCCAACCCACCGTACGGGCAAACCCGAATTCAGAGATAATTGCACATAGTTCATAATACATACATACACTGGCTGTACTTAAAAAGTGATAATAGATGTGTGAGCTATTCCAAGTAAAAACAGTTACATTCAATACCCAGGTCGGAATTCCAGTTGAAACCAGTAGGCAACTGGTACCAGTTAAAACCAGTAAGTCAACTGGTACCAGTTGAAACCAGTAGATTCAACTGGTTTTTAATATGGAAATTGAAACAACGCTAACTGAGACCAGTTGAATTTCCATTTGAATTACCAGTTGATTTATACCAGTTCAATTACCAGTTGATTTACCAGTTGATTTACCAGTTGATTTACCAGTTGAATTTCCAGTTGAATTACCAATTGATTTTTCAGATGATTATCTAGTAATCAATCAACTGATAATCAATAATCATTATTAGCATCTGGCTACCAACTTGACCACATCACAATGATCATTTGAAGTAGATTATTGTGTGATTTGACATATAATGTTCGTGCATACATATATACAAATTTATACACTTTATTTCTGGTTAGTAATTACATATATATCAATATACCTCATTTTACGTCTTAAATCAGATGAAAAACATGATCAGACATGTGTAATATATTTGTCAATAATTAACTAAGAAAATGTAAATCACAAAATGTATGTGCATTGTCACATTTGCTTGAAAGATCATGATTATTATATTTTCTGTGAAAACATGCAAATCATGAATATTCATAAGATAAATTGAACTGGTTTTTCAACTGGTAAATCAACTGGTATTCGTACTGGTTTTCAACTGGTAAATAAACTGGTAATTATCTACTGGTTTTCAACTGGTAAATCAACTGGTAATCTTACTGGTTTTCAACTGGTAAATCAACTGGTAATCATCTACTGGTTTTCAACTGGTAAAAATCTACTGGTTTTCAACTGGAATCAACTGGTAATCATCTACTGGTTTTCAACTGGTAAATCAACTGGTAATCATACTGGTTTTCAAATGGTAAATCAACTGGTAATCATCTACTGGTTTTCAAATGGTAAATCAACTTGTAATCATCTACTGGTTTCAACTGGTAAATCAACTGGTAATATCAACTGGTCTCAGATGTCAACTGGTATTTCTACTGGTTTCCAAATTGTATCAACTGGTATCAACTGGTACCAGTTAAGACCAGTCGAGACCAGTTGAGACCAGTTGAGACCAGTTCAAACCAGTAGATACCAGTTGGAAATCCTTACTGGTTTCAACTGGTATCAACTGGAATTTCGACCTGGGTAATTTTGCTCTATTTTCTTCGTACATACATCCTGCAGTGGGAACTCATCATTTTAATGATAATACTACGGAGACACATGAATATTGAAGGCATGGATATTGCACATAGTGAGAACAGGTTTTAGTCATTCATTAATGCATGTCAAGGAGATACAGACAACCAGTTTCGTAACGTATCCAAACAGAGCTAGTGCACAGGTTCCCGCGAGGCGGCCAAACGCGAGCGATTCCACTCCCCTGCCAAGAGCGACCGCGCCCCGAATAGACAGAACGCGAATCGCACACACCAGCTGCAACCAGGCTGGGCAAGCGTTAATGTTTGCCAAACCTAGCAACAACAAATGTGCGCAACCCACACCCTGCCCACCGAAACGCAATCACTCCTAACAGGCGAGCGGAACCACACGCGTCCAGGTACCCCACGCGGACCCATGCACCCAACTCAAACACATTACGAAACTGGTCCATTGAAAAGAGGCGTCTCCTTGCACATAATAACAAGAGTTACATGTTGGTGATGAATATATGAATATGTGAATATTATTACATGCAATTTGTTTGTTTACTCTTATGCTTACATGAGTAATTTTTACAATATCTAGTTATGTAGTATACGGTGTATGTATAACATACTTCTGTGAGTTATACATTCTATAATGTATGTACTAAATACTTCTGTATTGTAAGTAACATATATTTCTATAATGTATGTAATACTTTTATAAAGCCCCAGTCCCATATAAAGCCGGACCAGCACGGACGAGCACGGACCACTCCGGACCATCCCGGACCATGGTCTGGGGTGATCCGGGATGGTCCGGGATGTTTTGTTCAAAAAAGTGTGATGCTACAGTCCCATATACGTCCCGGACCGTCCCGGACCATCCCGGACCCCATCCGGGGTGATCCGGGATTCGGTCCGTGTTGACACCGTGTTGGCACCGGGGTGGTCCTGGATGGTCCTGGGCGGTCAATAACTCACTCCCGGACTGCCACGGATCAACACGGACCGCCCCGGCGCCACTACGGATGACCCCGGACCCAGCACGGTGGCTACACGGATCACCCCGGATCAAACTTTTGTCCCGGACCGTCCCGGACCACCCCGGCAGTTTTTGACCGTCAAAAACATCCGGGGTCGACTCCCGGACCGCCCAGGACCATCCAGGACCATCCAGGACCATCCAGGACCATCCAGGACCACCCCGGTGCCAACACGGTGTCAACACGGACCGAATCCCGGATCACCCCGGATGGGGTCCGGGATGGTCCGGGACGGTCCGGGACGTATATGGGACTGTAGCTTTAAGTGTTTAACCACATATACATCAATAAGAACGTCGTCAAAGCCATTTCATTTTTGATCAAGTTTATTATCATTTTCCCTACAAAACTTAACATGGTAATCACACACATTCTTATACCGGTACTTATAAAATCATTTTCCCTTTATTCATACTAAAGTACTACTTACCATTTCATTAATTGAAAAGAATTTCAAAGCAAACATTCATGATCACAAATCTATAACATTCCGAACAGCAAGTCATCTCTTGTCTGATCTGTAGAATTCAGCTTTGTCTTGCATGATTTCATTGTAATATATCAAAGGGACTTGGTAACATTGTTCAGATGAGAGAAAATGGTGCTAAGGTAGTGACTTCAATGCTAGATGTACAATTAAAGATTATCTGAAAGTTTGAGTGAAAGCATACCATTATTGATGATAAAAATTGGGAAAAAATGATCTAATCAATTCCTTAATCCTCCCAACTATATATTATTACAATTTAATTACATTTTAGGTGAATTTAAATTCAATGCCACAAAGCAATGAATTGGCTCTGTATACCATTCCAAACATATATAAAAGGCCAATATTTTCTCTATACATCTGAAGACATATGTAAACAAATATGAAAATAATTTCATAGTCTAACTCTATGCTTTAGACAAAATGAAGCTTGGAGCAATCATCTTCGGAGCAAATGTTGGATCTCGTATAATCTTCCTACCCACATAAATAGAAGATCCTAGTTGAGTTCTGGTGTGAAAGAAATGGGTGTGGAATCAATCAGAAAAGGTTGATCATGATTATAGCATATAAGTATTGTTGTGTATATACTGCAAGGTTCTGGAATCATTAAAATGATAACAAATTTGGCCCAGTCCGGCCGTGGTAAAGTTACAAGCACTGTACACAGAAAGATGCACATGGGACTACCCTATATTTATCCTGGGATCTATCCAGTCCTGGTAGATATGATAATTTACCAAATATATCAATTGGTAGGTGGTTTCCAGGCAAAATTTGTATCATCACATATTGGTCAAAACATAATTCTTTCACAAGATTGGTAATAAGATTTTTTTTTTTTGAGGGGGGGGGGGGGGGGTTCCAAAAGTGGTCTATGCCTTTAAAACTGAGGCATGGTGAAAGGGATCACTTTGCCCTGATGCATAGACTTTTCACACAGATCTGCAATCCAAGAGGTACACAAAGTATCCTCCATCGTCACATCTAGCTTGTCTGTCTTTCCTGGAAGAAAAAAAATAACAAGATCAAATTAAAAAAAATAAATTCATATCGTCACAGTATGACTGACTAACTTATTCAAGTGCTCTTTGCATACCAGGTACATGTTTCTGTGTGTTATGAAAACTCAAGCTGCCAACCTCCACAACAGAAAATCAGTAATCACAAGGCTCAAAATCAGTAATTTGGGGAATGAATCAGTAATTTCCTATGTGGCGGCACTATAAATGTTTTAAAAATGGCACACAAACACTGCGCAGATGCATGTGCGCATGATTATCTGAAATTTTTGGTGATTTTACTCACACAAAGTTGCTAAATATTGATTTTCAGGTCATCACAACACATGAGTTTTCCATGAAAAATTGGCTTCTATTAAGAGAATACTTGATACTTTTCCGTCTTTCTCAGCGATTGTTGGATGGCCGCCAGAAAAAGAAACAAAAATTAGACAACATTCCGTACTGCCGTAATGATCGTTAATTTCCGTACCAATTACGGGAAATCTGTACTAGTTGGCTGCTCTGTTTCAAAACCTACCATCAATGAAATCAAAGAAGTGATCCAACTCACCACAGTTTGACAGGCTGTCTTACAGTATTATATAAGTGGCCTTTTTATATAGGTTTTAGCGTGTTATGAAAACCTACCTTCGATGAAGTCAAGGAAGTAATTCATCTCATCACAGAATGACAGGCTGTCTTACCATGCTTGTGGCCTTCGTACACACGTTTGAATAAATATGATTGCCTATCAGGCTGAGTGTGACTGGCTCTCTTAAATTAGAAGTGGTCTTTGTGTAAAGGTTATAGTGTGTTATGAATGCCTAATTCAATGGAAGGGGCCCAGTATCGACCCTTGAGGAACTCCTATATATTAAGGTATTAGTCTGTTATAAATAACTACCTTCTACAGCATCAAGGAAGTGGTCCATCTCATCACAGTACGACTGGCTGTAGCGCTCCACAAAGGATGGGAAGATAGGATCCAGAAGCTCACCTTCTTCATTGTGCCTTGTGAGAGGTGCTTCTATTCTGTTTTGAGACTGCATCATACCTTTGGATCCCAAAACCTGCGATGAAGAAAAAAATTGATTTAAAATTACCGGTATATTAAAGCTTATCTGGACTAGTTTGGCCAGGAGGGATGAGACCACACAGCGAGGTCACCGACAGGTGGCTATCTCATCAACTCAGCTCTCAACAGGCACCGATTGGGGAAGTTTTCTATATAGAGGGAGCAAGTAGTTACAGTGGGCATTTAACTTTAGTGCTATAACAGAAAAAGAAGGCAGTATGGCAAAATAATAATAATAATATAAATTTATAACGCGCACGTATCCGGAACTTCCGATCAAGGCGCGACAGACAAAAATGATGCAGATTACACAAAACGGTTCAACAGATATTATTTCTACACGTAATTAAACTTAAATCTTAGATAAACAGGAATTCAAATCTTACATGTATATATACAGAAATTCAAGTATTGGATAAACAGATATAAATACATAATACAGTTCAACATAATACAGTTCTTTAGGTAATTAAACTTAAACATCAGATAAATAAAAACGTTTTCAACTGGGATTTAAATTGTTCTGTGGATTCTAATTGTCTAAGATGAGAAGGAAGAGAGTTCCAGAGGGTGGGTGCAGCTTTTGCAAAGGACCTGTCTCCGTACGTAACTGTTCTTGTCATTGGCACAACTAATCTCGTAGCCTCTGAAGACCTCAGTGACCTCACTGACTGCGTTACTGATACCATCTCAGAGAGGTACTGGGGGGCCTGACCATGCAGAATCTTGAAGGTAGTCAGACAAATCTTGAACACGATTCTCTTCTGTACCGGTAGCCAGTGCAATTGACGAAGGATAGGACTTATTCTTGCATACTTCCCTGCCTTAGTAAGAACACGGGCTGCGTTGTTGTGCACTCGCTGCAAACGAGAAATGGCTGAGGAAGGGATACCGACCAGGAGGGCGTTACAGCAGTCCAATCTGGAAGTTACCAAGGCATGGATGATCTGTTCTGTAGTCTGCTTCGACATGTATTTACGGATTCTCCTGACATTCCGAAGGTGGAAGTTTGCACTTCTGCAAATGGATGAAACCTGCTTTTCCATATTGAACAGATGGTCAAAGACGACTCCCAAATTCCTAGCTGAACTTGTTGGAGAGATAGTATGACCACCAATGTTCAGGTTTCGAGGGTGAAAAGTTGAGTGATTGTGACGAGATCCAAGCACCAACATTTCAGTCTTTTCTGGGTTCAGTTTAAGGAAATTTGAACTCAACCATGCTTGTATGTCACTCATACACGATTCCATCTGATCGAAGGTAGCCGAAGCATCCCCTGGACGAAATGTGAGATAGAGTTGGGTGTCATCAGCGTAGAAATGAAACTGAACCTGATGGTAACGAGTGATGTCTCCAAGTGGTAATATGTAGATAGTAAAGAGTACCGGGCCTAAGACCGACCCCTGAGGTACCCCACACTTGAGAGGACAAGGTTCAGATATATTGTCGCCAATACGCACCACCTGAGATCGGCCAGAAAGGTATGATTCAATCCAACGCAAAGCTGAACCTTTTACACCAAGCCTTTCGGATAGTCTTTGAAGTAAGACATGATGATCGATGGTGTCGAACGCAGCGGATAAGTCCAACATGACAAGCAAGACCATTTGGTGCTTGTCGATAGCAGTGAGAATGTCGTTTGAAACTTTCAAAAGAGCACTTTCGACACTATGCCCGATCTTATACGCCGACTGCATGACTTCCATGAGGTGGTTGAATTCCATGTAGTCCACCAGCTGATGAAGAACGACTCTCTCAAGAACTTTTGAAGCGAATGGCAGATTTGAAACAGGCCTGTAGTTAGAAAGCTGTTCAGGATCTGAGCCAACCTTCTTCAGCAGGGGAATGACCACGGCATGCTTGAAGTCATCAGGTACTTCTGAGGCCTGAAGAGATGAATTCACTATGTTCATGATACCACAAGCAAAAGTTGCTGATAGTTGTTTAATGATCCATGTTGGAACAGGATCCAACTGACAAGATTTGTTTGGAGAAGTACGTATTATCCGTATAATGTCTTCAATCTCGGCAGGCTCAAATGTTGATAGTTCAGAATCACAAGCCGATGCATTTCTCAGCCCGCGGTTTTCGGGCCGCTCTTGTCTACTCTCAATTGTCTCTCGTATTGACCGAATCTTATCCAAGAAGAATGCACTAAACTGATTAGCTAACTCCTCATCATCATCGTGAGAAGGAAGAGCAATAGACTTGGATGGACTCAACAGGTCATTAATCATCTGGAAGAGACGCTTGGGATCTTTTCCGCACTCCGATATTTTGCTAGCTATGTATCCACTCTTTGCCTGACACATCATTGCATTGAGTTGATTTCTCATAGCAATGAAGACTTTACGAGTCTCCTGACATTTTGAGGACCGCCAGCGTCGTTCTGCTCGTCGTGTTAACTGTTTCTTATGCCTGATGCCGTTGTTGTACCATGGGATGTGCTGACGCAGGACAACGTTACGACACTTAACAGGTGCATGAAGATCCAATACTTCAGAGAGACGAGAATTGTATGCCGAGACAACCTGTGATGTATCACTGAAACTGTCCAATGTAGATAGAGATGTGTATACGTCATCAGAGAAGGCATCCATGTCAATGTCACGAAGCTTCCTATAGGTTACTCTCTTTACAGGAACAGTAGGTTTCTCTAGAGAGCAGGTGAAGCTTATCGCTGCATGATCTGATAGAAATGAGTCCACATGCAATGATGTGACTAGATCTGCATCTGATCTAGCAATGACGAGGTCGAGTGTATGTCCTGACATATGTGTGCTGCCTTGAACATGCTGTACCAAACTTGCATCGTCCAGGAGTTGAGCAAACCGAACGGATTCAAGATCAGTGTTGTTGTCCACATGTATATTAAAGTCTCCAACCAGCAAGACATTGTCATTTGAAGAAGCAACAGCATCTATGATGGTTGAGAATTCTTCAACAAACATATTGCGGGTCAATCCATTTCTAGTGGATGGCGGTGGTCGATAAATGACTGTCATCATTAGTCTCTCAAAATTATGCTTGATTTCCATCTCTGCACATTCAAAACTACGAAATGGTTGAGCGGGTAAAAGTCTTGCGTTGAGTCCAGATTTGCTAATGATAGCAATTCCACCACCCCTCCCACATCTTGGTATAGAGTGGTATACATATCCTGCTGGTGTCAATGCGTTCAAAGTCACACGGTCCCCTTCAGTCACCCATGTTTCAGTTAAGATGAAAACATCTAGATCATGATCCAAAATGTATGTCTCAAGAAGTTCAGTCTTGTTACATGCAGACTGTGCATTAAGTAATGCAATTCTAACAGTAGATGGGTGTGGGACAGTTGAAATTCTCCTCAGAAAGCAAGGCCTTTTGATATCTTGCCTATTTCTAGAATGGGTTGATGTTCGTGCTGTAATCCTTGCTGACAAAGATCTTTGTTTAGTATGTCCTCCTCTTACTCCTCTGTTTGTAGCTGGGATTCTATTTATTCCAAGTTCTCTAATACGTAGCATTAAGTCTGGAGAAATCCTATTATCAATAGAAGCATTAGAAGCATTGTTCTTCACAGAAAGTAATTGGTCAGCTGAATAGTGAAAACCAGTACTACTTGCAGTCATCCTTTGTATGTCTCTACTAAAATGCTCTCTTGCACTTGATGTCACAATCACAATGAAGAACAATCCAGTGACTACACGATATAGCTGGTTGGACATGCACAAAGACCAATGGGTGTACATGATTAGCTGACATGTAGTTTATGCAATATATTTCATATCAAATTTATTAAAACCGAGACATCATTCTGAGAAGTTGATTTGTCCAGAAGAATCCTGGGGTATGGATCAATCCAATGATGTAAATCTTAACAAGCGGCGGTAACAATAAATACATATAAATGTAGATTATCTGAAGAGCTCTCTGCACCAGCTGCCGATCAGGCGCATGGTATATCATCAAAATGATACATAAATAACATAATTTATAACTCGACAAAGTGCATGCATAAAATCATGGAGAGATCTTAGGCATTGCAGAATAAATATAACAGTAATACCGGTAATCATAAAAAAAGCTATGAAGATGATTATGAAACAAAGAGCTCTGTATTTACAAAGTTCTTAGAAGTATAAATACATTTATACATTTACAAACATAATATACAAGTAGCTGAATTATTAACATAGAATAATTGGGTTACGTCTAAATCTTAGGTCTCTATTTAGTTCTATTACATTTCAGCATTGTCTTAAAAGATTCAAATGATCAGGCCTTACAGATATGTGAGGGAAGATCGTTCTACACAGTTGGTGCACAGACCGTAACAAATTTGGGTTTTGTGAGTGTGTAAGTGCAAAATCCATTAATTCTCGCATTTTTAAAAGAAGTAGAAATTTGAACTCAATTAGTATATTGAAAGAAATTAGACAGGCAGTAAAGAGAATGAACGGCAGACGTACAGTAATCTTAGAAATTTGCCTTAAGAATCAATAGTGTAGTACTGTTTTAAACAGGTCGATCCAGAAATGTATGATCATCAATTTCGTGTTGAACCAACTAAGAAAAAAAACCAGAAGACATGTTCACTAAAATATCTGATCTTGAGCAAAGTTCTTCATGGTTAAGTCTTAATATTTCAAAGTCCGTCATAATAAAGAATGTTTTAGAGTCAATGCACAGCTCGTCGCCTGGCTGGCAGATGGGCATTAGCTCGAATTTCAGGTAAAAAATGAAGCGTTAAGCAGAAGGGCGATAGCACTAAATCACCTCAAACTTTTATAAAACTGACTTTAATATTTCTGAGAAAAAAATTGTGGCCGTGTTTTACTAAAACATTTTTATTAGTCTTTTAAGTTTTAATAATTTGAAAAGTAGTTTTCAAGTCGCTTGCGCGCTAACGCCCTTCTGCCAGCCGGCTGACAAGCTATGCTCTTAAAACTTATGGACCTAGCGACTTGGAAAGATTCAAATTCCCTTTAATTCCTTTTATTGATAGAGCTCGGCTTCCGACTTGCCTCTAATCGCTGGTCATAACCGTAAACAGCTTCGCGGTTAAGGTCGATGGTTGCCAGGACCCCACTTGGAAATTTCAGAACAATGGCCGCCTGATCAACATCGTTCATGGCTTTGGTGGCATCGTTGAAGGCGTGGCCCTGAGCAAAGACACTGATTGGTTTCTCACCTAGTATCCATAGAATTAGGTCGATGTCGTGAATAGCACAGTCATGGTAGAATCCACCTATTAATAGTAACAAAATTACAGGTGATTCTTTTTCTAGAGTGTGTCAGAAATGAAACTATGTCTTGACAATATTTTAAAAATAATGTTGAGTTCTGGTCATGTGATTGCATTGTAAAAGAAGCTGTTTAGAAGTTATTAGAATTTGTTTAAAGAAGATCCGGTAACTTAATTTGTCTTAGGTCCTTTAAAACAATCCTTGATTTAGCTCATATGCTGCAATGATAATTATAAACCTTTATGTCAGTCGGGAACCCAATGACTTCTACAAGCCAATCGCCTGTCTGATTATCAAGATATTTATGATTGAAAATCGAAATCAAAGTTTGCGTTTGCCAAACGGTTTTCATAACACTACAGTCTATCGGGGAACTCAAAGATTTTTACTTTTTTGAGGCACTTCTTGATCATTTTGAAGCGCAATTTTTTTTAGGGCTTCAATATAACACCATATCACAGACATGTGCACTGATAACACGTAGGGCCGTGCATCTCAGAGTTAATATTGTTAAACGATCCCTTTAAAGGTCGGTTGACCAACTGTTCACATTAGACCATACAATATCAATATAGGAGTTGCTATGTCAGACGTGCTGTAGCATCACCATGAAAAAAGGTAATGTGGAGGTATTGTATTAAAGAATGTACCGTAATTCTTTTGTGAGCATTTGCTGAGGTGGGGGAAGTTACATACCACTGTCTCTTGTTAGCTCACTAATGATTGACATGCAGACGATGTCACAAGATGAATGAGATCTGGAGCATTTTTTTAGGGTGGAGCTTAGCAGGTCCGAGTAGATGAGAAAATTATTTTAAGAATATTTTTAAATTCTATTAAATATACAGTCAAACCTGTCTATAGCGACCACCCAAGGGAAACATGAAACATGATCTTTGTAGACAGGTTCCTTTAGTACATGTTCAATGAGAAATCATTTTCATGTGAAACAAAAAATGTGGTCTTTGTAGGCAGGTGCTGGTCATTTAAGCAGGTTTGACTATATTAAGATGTATGAATAACAAAATATGAGTTGCCCTGCACATCATCAGGAATCAACTTTTATTTTGATGTCACCGGACCTTTAAAATGTCTCCCTAATACAGTGACAATATCTCCTTCATGCAGTGATTTTAGGGAGTTTTCGCACGGCAATGCAAGTGCTGACTACGGCGTATTTAAATGAGCTTTGACCGTGTCCGTACTGGCTACCGTCGCGATCTAATTTGCATTAGGGAGTTTTCGCAACCGGTGACATGGCCTACAACACTAATCATAGTGGGGGGTCGGACTCAGAGCGAAAATTTCCGCGTAGCGTCCATACCTACGACAGTAATCAGCCGAATTAGCATCGGGAGTCGAGCTAGTACGGGGTGGCGTGATCAGCCAAGCCGAGCGCTTGTTAGCTGTGATATGGGGAGGCTCGGATGCAAACGACTTTGCTGACATCACGCAAGCGCCTGCAAATTAGATCGCGACGGTAGCCAGAGTACGAACGGTCACAGCTCACTTAAATATCCCGTAGTCAGCACTTGCGTCGCCGTGCGAAAACTCCCTATTGTCTCCCTTAATGTAATGATAACTTGTTCATCCTCACCTGATATTTTAAGGTATTCTACTGGAGGGAAAGAGCCATCCCTGGCGGTTGATTTTATACACCTGATCTGCCCTATCTCTCCATTCTGCACCCTCTGTCTCAGCTTACGGATGGATGGGTCAAACCGTCTAAAACGGAAATGAAATTAGCGGATTAAAGAGATAGTAGAGTTCTTTTTTCAGACCGCAAATGCCTTCAAGGTGCATGGTTAGTCCTCTTATTATTATTTTAACATTTTCTAGTGCTCTTTTAGGACCTAAAATTGCTGTGAAGGTAATTTTAGACCCCAAAATGTATGAAATTAAGCCAATACGATTATACCAATTCAGCTCCACTTTAAACAAAAAAATGATAACCGTTAATTAATTAATTAATTAATAATAATACAGGGGCCTGCTGGTTGTGCGTATTATAACCAACGCGATAAAGCCAACAAAAAGCTAACATCAGCATTGGCTGGAATAAAACGTAAAGGCACCATCTCATCTTTTCAACGGCTGGTTCTTATTATTCAATATTTGTAGGGCACCACAAATGTTAGAAATCATTATATTTAAGATATTTCAGCCGTCTCTGAACCGATTTTGATCAAACAAAGATGATTATGTCATTTAAATTGTATGTTCTTTCAAATTTGACACTCAGTTTTTCATTATCTCAAGAAAAACTCAACTATCCCTTCAAGGGTCACAGCTGTCGTTCACATCTTGGCCTAAAACTCATAAAGGGTAGTTCACACAAGATGCAATAAACACTCACAGATAAAATTACAACTAAAAATGTGACAAAAGAAGTGGGATTGAGAAAATACATGATAATAAGAAGAATGATATGGCTACCTGTTTATAATGGTTATGCTTATCTTTAACACATATTCACATCTCCAAGACCAAACAGAAGTCCACTATACTACTCATAGTTCAGCTCATCTTTCATAATACTAATAAATAGTGGAGTTCTGTATAGACGTGCTCATGCATGATTTGTCATTGCCACTCAAATTTACAAGGGGTATCAATAATTTAGTTGTTAAATGTATATGTAATCAACCATGGGTACATGTACAATGTACATGGATCTGTCCAATCCTGTACCTTAGTGAAACATCAAATTGTTCAGTATAGCCTTTAACCTTTAATTTGCCATGATTGCTGATTGGTACGACTGCTGGCTGCACCAATAAACAAAAGGATTGGACTTTATACTATAAAAGCTTTGCTTAAAAACCCATTTCTGCCAGGGCCCCGTCTTATAAAGAGTTTATATCAATTGCAACTATATACCGTAAATCTCCGTGTATAAGACGCACTTTTTTGCCGCCGACGGAAAAAAATTGAAAGTCGGGGTTGAGCCTTATACACAGGTACAGATTTTTTTTTTTTTTAAATTTTTTATAAAAAGTTTTTAGGTTTCGATTTATGGCGCTATGCGGGCAATGTCTCCAGCTCAGTAATCAGTGTGTTGACTCACCACTCGGAAACTACAACAACACTAAAAAATTTCTGTCCTCTTGGTTTAAAAGTAATCTTTCTAATAGATCTCAATATAGTTTATAGTAATAATTCCTCAATTTTTTTTATATAACAAATGGTGTACCACAAGGTTCTATCCTAGGACCTAGGTACTCTATTGTTTTTAATTTACATTAATGATCATACACATTCTTCTAAAAACAACATTGTTACTATTATTTGTGACAAGTTTACAAGCACAAATCAGAGCCTTTAACTGCACCTCGATGTTAAATGAAGGTCCTTCCCCACGTGGGTTTTCGGCAACAAAACAACATATACACAGGTGCGCCTTATACACAGGTGCGCCTTATACACAGAGATTTACGGTATGTAAATAAGACTGGGTCCAGATCTTAATTGGCCGCATATGACAACTCTTTTATCTCCTATTTCGAGTAAGTTAAAGGGATTGTTTAACAATGTTAAATCTGAGATACACGGCCCTACGTGTTAACATTGTCTGTGATATGGTGTAATATTGAAGCCCTAAAAAAATTGCGCTTCAAAATGATCAAGAAGTGCCTCAAAAAAATAAAAATCTTTGAGTGACCGGTTTTACCATACTCATTTTCCCCAATAGACTGTAGTGTTATGAAAACCGTCAGGTGAACGGTTTTCAAAATTTGTAATTCCAATATCATAAATATCTTGATAATCAGACAGGCGATCGGCTTGTAAAAGTCATGGGGTTCCTGACTGACCTAAAGGTTTATAATTATCATTGCATCATGAGCTAAATCCAGAATTTTGTTTCAGAACCTGAGACAAAGTTATCGGATCCTTTTAATACTGGAACTTAGATACAAAATACACATAGATCCATTGGTAAACTAGATGGAATTTTGACTGCGCGCAGTCGAAAATGATGCCTCCGCCATAGAGCAATTTAAACAAGTTTGGAGTTTAAATCTCCAGTGGTTCTTGAGATATCATGATAACAATCTCAATGTATGGAATTTCATAAGTTGACCTCTGTGACCCTTGACCTTTGACCTACGTGCTCCAAAATCTAATCAGATTGTCTTCCTATGGTGATACACACTATCATTAAGTTTGAAGTTTAAATCTCCAGTGGTTCTTGAGATATTATGATATGGTGATACATACTATCATTAAGTTTGAAGTGAAAATTCTCCAGTGGTTCTTGAGATATCGCGATAACGATCTCAATGTATGGAATTTCATAAGTTGACCTCTGTGACCCTTGACCTTTGACCTACGTGCTCCAAAATCTAATCAGATTGTCTTCCTATGGTGATACACACTATCATTAAGTTTGAAGTTTAAATCTCCAGTGGTTCTTGAGATATTATGATAACAATCTCAATGTATGGAATTTCATAAGTTGACCTCTGTGACCCTTGACCTTTGACCTACGTGCTCCGAAATCTAATCAGATCGTCTTCCTATGGTGATACATACTATCCTTAAGTTTGAAGTTTTTACATCTCCAGTGCATGGTTCTTAAGATATCATGATAACAATCTCAATGTATGGAATTTCATAAGTTGACCTCTATGACCCTTGACCTTTGACCTACGTGCTCCAAAATTTAATCAGATTGTTTTCCTATAGTGATACACACTATCACTAAGTTTGAAGTTTAAATCTCCAGTGGTTCTTGAGATATCATGATAACAATCTCAATGTATGGAATTTCATAAGTTGACGTCTGTGACCCTTGACCTTTGACATACGTGCTCCAAAATCTAATCAGATCGTCTTCCTATGGTGATACATACTATCCTTAAAGATAAACTCCAGTACTGGTAAAAAAAAAAAAAATTCTCACAGAATCAAACGAAACTTACACTGAATGTTCAAGATTACAAATAAATGACATGTGCCAAACAATTTTGGAAGAAAATGTATACTGGCTGAGTAATAAGCATAGAAAGACAAGGAAATCAAGGTAGTACTAGCCCCGACACGATGTGTGTTGTCCCATATATAGCTTTCTATGTGAGTGCTTGTTACTTTACCAAGACTCGGTCAAATTTATTATGATTTTGATGACTCCAGAACCTTGCAGTGCACACCAATACTTATATGCTACATGATCAACTGTTTCTGATCCTTTCACACGTTTTCTTTCACAATGCAATCGCATTACCAGTACTAAAGTTTATCTTTAAGTTTGAAGTTTAAATCTCAAATGGTTCTTGAGATATCGCACTAAAAAACTTAATACAAGGAATTTCATAAGTTGACCTCTGTGACCTGTGACCTTTGACCTACGTACTCCAAAATCTAATCAGATCGTCTTCCTATGGTGATAAATACTATTCCCAAGTCTTAAGTTTAAATCTTAAATGGTTCTTGAGATATTGTGATAACGGTCAAACGGGACGGACGTACGGACGGACGTACGGACGGACAACCCGAAAACATGATGCCTCCGGCACCACCTTCGGTGGCGGAGGCATAAAAAATACCCTTGTGAAATACAACATGGAACAGGGACGATGACCCAACAAATTCTGTGGCTACAATTTTCATTGACCCAGGCTTCTTTATCAAAGGTGTAAGGTCAGGATTGCAATTAGATTATAGGTTAGGTTTAGGGTTAGTGATAGCTTTAAGGTTAGGGTTAAGTAATGTTGGGATTATGGTTGAAGTTAATAATTTGGTTAGTGTAGGAAACTGGCACAGGGTGTCATGCAACAACAATTAAGGTCATACTTCTGAGTGCGATGGCACAGCACAGACAGAATTAAAGCCTATCTGTACTAGTTTATAGGAGGGATGAGACCACCCTACAAGGTCACTGGACAGGTGGGTATCTCATCAACTCAGCTCTCAATTAACATAAGAAAAAGAGGATCACGGGGGACCAATGGTCACCGATTAGGCATTGTTTTCTAAAAAGAGGATCATGGGGGACCAATGGTCATCGATTAGGCATTGTTTTCTATAGAGAGGGAGCAAGTAGCTACAAGTAGTACAGTGTGGCTTTAAGATTTACCTGTTGAAAGCACAGAACAGAGGTTTGCCCACCTTTGCAGCCTTGATGTAGCATTCCCTGGCATCTTTTAACTTGACAGCGATGGGTTTCTCCACAAATATAGCTTTCCCTGCCAATATCAAACAGACAACATGTGCGTTTAACAGATTTTAAAGGGATAGTTGAGTTTTGTTGCAGAGGGCGCTACACAAAGTAATTTGTTTGTGAGATAATGAAAAACTGAGTGTCAAATTTGAAAGAATATACAATTTAAATGACAAAATCAATATGCTTGATCAAAATCGGTTCAGAAATGGCTGAAATATCCATAAATATAACCATTACTAATATTTGTGGTGTCCCACAAATATTTGGTAATTTTGAACCAGCCTTTGAAAACGAAATAGCGCCTTATACGTCTTATTCCAATCATGCCCAAGTATGTGGGTGATGGAAAAAGAAGGTCAACACCTTTTTTTTTTTCTTCTTCTTCAAAAAGAAAAAGTTATCTCTGTGATGAAGTTTACATCAGTGAAAGATATCAGGCCTTTTTTTATGTAAAAAAAGCATTTTAGGTGAAAATTTTATTCCTGAAAATTCATTCACAAAATTTGTGTCAAACAAAAAATCACATAAAAAATCAGCAAGCATATTGTTTGGAAGATTCTTTAATTAGGAATTTTCTTTTCTTTCTCTTGACACTTTGTACATGCATGCATGCAGGTACAATGTCCTTACTAGTTTTGTATGGGAAGAGTGAAAAGAACGGCACAGAAGTCTGATTAATCATAATAACTTACTCGCATCCAACCCTTTTAGTACGATAGCCTCGTGAAGAAGAGTAGGAACACACACAACTATTGCATCCGTCCTGAGAGAGAGAGAGAGAGAGAGAATGAGAAGAAAAAAATAGAACTGAGATTTGGATGGGTTAAAGGTACTACTGTATGTCCCTTTTGCAGCCAACCTCAAATTCTGTAGAACTTTGCAGGAATTATGAATATGTCATGTATGTCCTATCTGAAATATAAATGTTAGCAGTGTCCTAATATTCAAATTATGTAAGGAAACCCGTTTACTTGCTAGACTTCACTGTCAGACACTGATGTCAGTATTGAGTGACTGACTGGCTTTTTCTTCTTCTTTGGTAATAACATACATACAATGAGCTGTAAAGGATTTGTCTACATCAATAACCCACTTCTTGTAATGGCCAAAATTAAACTAATTGAATCTTTGCGCAGCATAAAATGTACGACCATGCGGGACAATGGTCTGAAAATCAAGACTATTACTTATTGGCTCTATAGCTCCTAAGTCGATTTTACAACTAATAGTCGTTATTTTCCCACTTAAAGACATTTCAAGCCCCATTTTTTTAAAGGGAGTTCTAAATTAGTATTATCTTTTAAATGCCATTGGAATTTAACCTTTTCATTTTTTTGGCCTGCAAAACGGGACATAGTACCTTTAACAGTTATAGTTACTTTTAGACAAAACAACAAAGCTGACCTTGTACTATTGCATTTATCTATTAGAGAAAGAAATAAATTTATTTGTCCATGGCAATAAATAGCTCCATGAAGAATAGTAGGAACACACACGACTCTTGCATTCATCTATGCCATTACGAACTGCTACACTGTACGAACGCTATACGAACGATTTTCAGACAATTGAAAAATCGGGAAGACAATTGTTCATACGAACCTTTGTGACCGGAGCATAAGTGAAATAAGGAGAGAACTGTTGCCAGAGCATATATGTCATAGAGATGTTATAGTTGAGTGGTTCAAACTCTATAGACTGGGAATATAGAGAAGACTAGAGGAATTCAAAAGTAATTCCACACTATTGTCACCATGCATAATGTGGCATCCCATAACTCCTTTGTCTGATTCTTATCTTAAATACATATTTGGAGACATGCAACTAACTCTTTCACAATGCAAACGCATGACCAGAACTCGATCAACTTTATTTTAAAGGTCAGATTGAAACACGGCCCCTTCCCCCCCCCCCACTCTGTGAACGGAGGGAAACGATGCTTGTGCCCAAACTCTCCGGCTCGTAACAAAAGAAAAAGGTCTACCCGTATTGACTCTACACACCAACCTTTTGCTAAAAGGGGGGGGGGTGTTGAAAAAGGCTTGTATAACAAAAGAAAAAGGTTGACCCGTATTGACTTTACACACCAGACTTTTGCTGAAAAGGGGGGGTCGCTGGGAACAGCATATGCGTAGCCTAAATAACACTGAGTGGGGGGGGGGGGGGGTGGGGGCGGGACTGAACTGAATTACCAGTAGTAGAATATGGATCACTATATTTTTACTCACTTCTCGTCATTCCAGACGTTAGAAATGTCTTTGGTGGAGATGACCTGGGTATCGTAGAGGTAGAGCTGCTCCAGGATGGGCGTGACCTTTTTGGTGTCCTCTTCCACAATCCATCTTAGATCTACACGAGGAGACGCGGCAAGGTTCTTGATGTGGATCGTGCCAGCACGCCCCACGCCAAACAGGGCTACTCCTATCTTCTTTTTGCGTTCAACGGAAGTCATGGTGATTCTTAAATCTGAAGAAGAAAAAAATCATACTGCTATTACATACCTGCTAACATATGAAAATAAGAATAAGGAATTTTTAGCACGGTATATTCCTTCGAAAACAAGAAATCGCACTTGCAGCGGCAGTGTAACTGGCAATACGGGTAAATCTTTTCAAAAAGCAAATACAAATTCGCTGCTCGATCATGCAGCCATTCAATGCATGCAATGTGAACTCTCAAATCGCGTCACATGATAAAACAAGCTTAATTTGGCTTAAGTACAAACAAAACCCCCAAAACTCAAAATTTTGAAAATTCAGGATATTCCAGATTTTCAGGTCCTAGAAATACATACTTGTACATGTACCTGCCAACATTTGAAAATAAGAAAATCAGAATATTCTGGATTATTCGTAAGGGTTGGCATGATACATACATGTTTTTTTTTTTTTTTAAACATACAAATATGTTTGGCAAACGGTCTGAGGAAACTCTACATTAATTATAAAGCAGTATCAAAATACAATGGTATCCCAACTTTTAAAACATTTTATCAACATTTAAGATCATCATGCAATGCATTCAAAAAGTCAATGAAGATGCATAAGAAAACACAATTCCTTGTTATTCAATGCATTGAACATCCTACATACATTCATGAAATACATACAAGCATATTCAATGGAGCTAAATGTAGCTTCATGGAAACCAAACTGCTTTGTGTGTGTGAGTTGATTTTTTTTTCTTCATATATCTTTAAACCTTTTAATATTTTTCCAGTTTATTTAAACAGAGGGGAATAGATACACTAGGTCTGAATTTAAACAAACTATTCTCCTGCATATCATATCCCTTTTGAAAAACAGGAATTTTGTTTTGCAATTTTTGTTTTATCTGGAAACACCCAATACTCATCCCAATATGATTCATGTTATGAAACAGCCATGAATTTGATACGGTTCCATGACACATGCTCCGCCGACGATTGCTCCACCGACATTTACTCCGCAAAACGCGACAATTGCTCCGCGACATTTGCTCCGCGACAGTTGCTCCGCCGACTGTTGCTCTGCTGACATTTGCTCCGCCGACATTTGCTCCGCCGACAATTGCTCCGCCGACATTTGCTCCGCCGACAATTGCTCCGCCGACATTTGCTCCGGTGACAAATGCTCCTCGAATGACAGTTGCTCCGCCGACAGTTGCTCCGCCGACAATTGCTCCGGTGACATTTGCTCCGCAAAACGCGACAATTGCTCCGCCGACATTTGCTCCGCTAAAAAAGTGCCCCGTAAAATACAAAGGCTACTACGACAATAATTGTTGCTCCTCCCTAAAAGTACCCCGCAAAAGACAATGCTCCACCGACAATTAAATTGCTCTCTGATCCAAAAGTGCGGCCTCGTGGAAGACATGAATGCTCCTCTGGCAATTAGTGCAATAAATGCTCAGCCGTTGTTTGCTATTCCCCATAATGTTTGATTTAAAAAACATCAAGTTTTAGCTCCTTATGCAAGTTCTCCGGCGAAAGATAATTACTCCGCTCAAAATCTGTTTCATTTATTACTCATTAGCCGATCAAAAGCTCAAGGCTATCTCTCTCTCTCTCTTGCTCTTCCTTTTCCTTTTTACACCCTTTTCTTGTCTTCTTTTTAGCTCTTTTCTTTCCTCTCATGCTATTAGTCTTCTTTCATTTTCATCACTTCTTCTTTTCTTCCCCTCTCGAGTTCTATTTCTCTCGTGAAATTGTAACGTAATGTAGTACATGTAGTACATTCTTGTTTAGAATAGTATTTTCAATAAGATCCAGTCCGTTTTCTATAGGTTTCTTTCATTCAGTTAAGTGTATGTAGCTTTACTATATATATATATATATATTAGTGAGTAAAATCTTTTGAGCTAGTGCTATTCGATGTGGCGTACACATGGCAATCACATGGTAGATAAAATTATGATCATCAGTACTGGGTCAAATAAATTAAAGAGAACTGAATTTGAACCCGGGCCATAGGCTACCCCCTCTCGTTCTCTCTCCCTCTCTCTCCCTCTTCGTCGCCTTACTTTTCCCTCTCTTACCTCCCTGTGCATTTGTATGCCTCCATAATACAAAAAATAAACAATAAGATTCTTCCTCTTCCCGTCCTTCTTCCTAGTACATGTAGTAGGAGTAGTACTAGAAGCAGTATCACAATAATAACAACAATGATTATTATGGTTGGTGGTGTTACTAATGTTATTTTTGTAATTATTATGTTTGTTATTGTGATTATTATCCTTATCATGATTATTATCGTTAAGATAAGTTATTATTGTAATTATTATAATCATTATTATTGTTATCATTAAGATGAATATGAACATGATGATTTTGATGACGATTAGTATAAGTATATAGTATTATTATAATTGTTCATATCATTATTATCATCTGTATTATCAGTATAATCTACAATGGCAGTAGTGTAGTATAGTACATGTAGAATTAGGCCTTATAGTAGAGGTATCATTATTATTCTGATTAACTTTTGCAATACGTCTAGACGATAAACTCATGACAATTGACAATTGTCATGAATCATTGTCTTTAAGTTTACCATTTAATGCATCTGGTTCGAATTTTGCTCAGGTATTTGGTACTGGATGATTTAAATGGTAGAAATTAACTTGTGTCCTATTCATTCTAGTCTTATTCATTTGCATTATGTTTTATTCATTCAAGTTCTAATGTTTCTGACTGTTTTCAAGACAATATCTTATGTGTCGATCATAGTTCTATGTAGCTTGATATCTCACGGTAATTTTGAGAGAAAAGCAATGCAAGCAATGATTTCTGAATTGTAGCGACTATCGCGTTCGCCTTTGCTGTTCTTCAATAATATTTGACAAGCAGTATTAATTCATTTTTCAAGGTCTCATGATAAATTCTTTTAACAGTTGATTACCCTCGGTTGATTCTTTTGTTCGGATTATTTGGCGGGGAAAATAGAAGTGAATGTACTTTTATTCTTATTTGTTCATCGTCTCTACGATGCTCTTTGAATCAAAAACAGCTTTTAGTGTTAGGCTTCCTGAAAGAAATTTCAATTGTTGTTAAGAAATTTTTGGTTGCACTCTGTAGATTATGATGATGTGTTTGATCTTTTTTTCAATACAAGATCAAACACATGAAGAAAATCTACTGGCTGCATGCCAATAAGTTCTTGACAACAATAACAAAATGTGAGCTAGTGCTATTCGGTGTGGCGTACACATGGCAATCACATCATCATGGTAGATAAAATTATGATCATCGATACTGGGTCAAATAAATTGAAGAGAACTGAATTTGATCCCGGGCCATATCCCCTCTCGTTCTCTCTCCCTCTCTCTCCCTCTTCGTCGCCTTACTTTTCCCTCTTTTACCTCCCTGTGCATTTGTATGCCTCGATAATACAAAAAATAAACAATAAGATTCTTCCTCTTCCCGTCCTTCTTCCTAGTACATGTAGTAGGAGTAGTACTAGAAGCAGTATCACAATAATAATGACAACAATGATTATTATGGTTGGTGGTGTTACTAATGTTATTTTTGTAATTATCAGGTGGGCTGTATACAGGCGCGGATCTACGGGGGGGTTTAGGGGGTTAAACCCCCCCCTTGGGCGGCCCCAAAAAAACAAAACAAAAAAAAAAAAGGAAAAAAAAAGAAAAAAGGAGAGAAAAAAAGAAAGAAAAAAGAACGCACGCTGGAGAGAAACCCTTTCAAGTGCAAATATTGTGAGAAGATATTCAACTCATCTGGTAACTTAACCAAACACATGATAACTCTGGATATAACTGTGTATTAAACTGTTACTTGATTTAAAAAGACGTTATCATGCACTGCTTTTTATGGTCTCCATTGCGTTAATAGATGCCAGGAAAACATCACTTACGGGGTTTAATAAACACCCCCCCCCCCCCCCTGGATCCGCCACTGCTTATTATTGATAACAAGTTTTATACAAAAAAGGGCCTTGACCTAAAGCCTAAGAAGATATAAAAGAAGAAAAAAGAGGTCATCCTGATATACAAATTACCTTTATGATTTATAATTTTGTAATTATGCGGACATAACTAAACCTAGTTGCCAATGGATAGTGCCCTCAATAAAAAAGCCCATTGGGGAAAGATTTAAATGATGACATATTTAGGTAAAAAGTGGAAACAAAGTATTCCGAAATAATTGGTGTCACTAATTAAATTAAATGTATTTCGGAAATTGTGTGTGCCCTAAATTTTGGCCATTAAATTTAAGTAAAAATGGCACAATTGCACTGGAGACATCTGTGGAGTTCAGTAGAAAATCTGACCGAAATTGATGGTGTACTCTCGTTAATTGGAAATAATATGGGTGCAAATTAAATATGAAATAGATACCAAATTAGATCTGAAAATTATGAGGTCCTGCATAGAAGATGCATGAAATAAGGCGAATTGGAGGTGGCTATAACAGAAATAATAGTACAAAAATATGCCAATTTCTTGTTTTCTCCCCCCCCCCCCCCCCCCCCCCCCCCCCCCCCCCCCCCGTTCATGTGTGTGTGTGTGTGTGTAATTGGATTTTTACAGATCTGTATCAATCAGATATGATTATTTACGTCTGCATGGGGACCGACCTTTAACGTCACCATCCAAAAGATGGTGACTAAATACTAAATAGATCTAGTCTAGGTCTAGGCTATAGATTCTACTACAATTTTTTTTAGTGGGCACTATTTTTTAAAACTAAACAACACCCCCCCCCCCCCTCTCTCTTGAGTATATAACAAATAAATAAAATACTGGGGGCCAGGGGTGGGGCCCGTCTTCCGTTTTTTAAATAAAAAAGGGTGTTTTTTACTACTTGTGGGGCCAGGGGTAATTGGGGCCCGTGCCCCCTGGATCTGGCTCTGATTTGCCCCCCCCCCCCCCCCGGGTGATCTCCTCTGGTCTGGAACACGACACTCAGAGAACCAAACGATTCCCACTCAATATGCGCTACTTCATGTACTTGTACTTTACCTTTACGATGCACTACAGCTAGGCCAAGTCTCACCAGGGGTCGACAATGCACAACGAATACGAGCTAGGTTGTACCTATATACCGGTAATTATTGAGGTCTGTTTGGAACTTATACTTTAGGCCCCTATAGTGCAGAGAAAACAGCACATTTGTCGACGAAATGAAGAGTACGTTCCAGAATCCAGTGTCGAAGTCTCAGTTCCCTTTTTCACAGCTTGCCTAAGTAATGTCACTAAATAAGTATAGACTGATACTTAAGATGAATTTCTAACTCTACGGCCACGGCACTGCTTAGCTCTGTTCCGTGATTGCGAGGAGCTATAGCTTATCAGGGAGGAACGGCCGGATACCGGTAGTATGCTACGCCCAAGGCTACGCCCAAGGCTACGCCCATAACCATTCACGCTTGACTAATCATGACCTCTAGTCAGTAGTGCCTACTGCGGTCATGCTTGGACACGCACTAAAGTCTAATTTCCATATTTCATATTTCACGTGACAATGACAATGACAATGACAATGACAATGATTTTTTATTTCTTTAACGGCTCCTTATGGGGCATGGAAGAAATACAGTTGAATAGTACATATAATGTTCAACAATGATATTCATATAGAAAATATTTGTTTTAAACACACACAGAAAATCTTTAAAAGCAAGAAAATCTTTGGCAGCGAACAACAAACAAATGAAGGCAAGCTTAAGGGTATAGGTCTACTTTAAAAAAAATATAAATAAACCCTACATCTCAACTGGCAGTACTAACACTACTATATACATGTATGTACACTATGCTACTAAAAACGGCAACAACCAATTTAACAACAACTCTAAGGTCAAAACAAATTATCCAAAATTAGACATACTTGATCTTACAAAATTTGGAAAGGTTCTTTAACTGCTTAACAGAATTTGCATTGAATAACTGATGAAATTTGATAACGTTAGGTCTACTGTAATAATATTCCTTAACATACTGCTTACGAAAGTCATTGAAAGCCGGGCACACCAAAACATAATGAAATTCATCACCCTGCACCTTAATATTACATAGGGAACATAACTCAAGAGGTTGATCAGATAAATAACGACATTTGGTAACTGGCAGCTTATTATTACCACAACGAAACTATATATCCTATCACATGCATACGTTCAATTTCAACAAATAAATCTCCAAACCACCTTCCTGTTTAAAAAGCCTATAATTTAAGCATAGGCGGTTTCTATAAACTTCATTATTCCAGTTTTGCAAATCAATATCGTTTAATCTAAGTTCCAAAGCTGACTTAACCTAACCAAGGTTCAAGGGGGTATCCTCAACCCACAAGTTTGACATTCCACTCTTGTCTAGGATACTTTTAACTTTCACAATCCACCTTGATTCGAAATCACCACTTTCATGTAGCTTACGTAACAGACTATAAATAATGTATGAAAGCTTAGATTTTTTACCCTGACTAACCCTCGCCCAAAAAATTGATCATATACGTTTCTCCACTTTACTAGCTAAAGCAAATCTACCAACTTCGCCATAAACCATACAGTTTGCAGTTCCACGGTTGAGTTTAAGCAAGCTTTTAAGGAGTCTATGAAATATTTCAATACAGTACGTCTAACTTCTGAAAATAACCCCAAACTTCACTACCATATAATAAAATCGGGACAACTAACTGATCAAACAGTTCACATTGAATATCAAGAGGTAAGCACAACTTCCTTGCCTTGCAAATTAAATTGAACATGGCTCTCCTGGCTTGATTAACCTGTTTGTTTATAGCCTTATTGAAAGAACCATTATAATTGAAAGTGGTTCCAAGATAAGTATAATTAATAGAAGCTGTCGTCTTGCAATTAAGCGGTCATCAACTAAGATTAAGGCTTGATGAAACACCCCCGATATTATCAAAGTTTCAGGTTTTCTTTGAAATAATTATATACGAGTTATGATCCTTCTTCATGAAATTTCTAAATGTAACCAAAAAATAATACATCGATCACCCACCTCCCCCCCCCCCCCCCTTAAAAAAAAAAAAAAAAAAAAAAAAAAATATATATATATATATATATATATATATATATACATATATATGTTCGTTGAAAACCCCAAATTATATACAAAATTTACCCCGAAAAATGACCCCCTTTTAATTATAATTGATGGTTGATGGGCATTTAACTCCAGGAAGTTAATGGGCATTGTGCTTGTATCATGTGTATATTGTGCATCCATATGGTGCACCAATGCATGCGATATGCCACTGAGACCACTGAGTTCACCGGTACACACGTGCATGATTTGATTCGCTTGACTTAGCCTTGTTTCCAGAAAAAATACTTCCATGAATCCACACCGAGGTTCATTGATCTAATAAATGTTATAATCTATGGAATTAAAACTCTCTTATATTGATTGATAATAAATAATACGTCTATAAGGTGTAATTTTCTATAGACTTGCCGTTATAAAGAGTATTTTGGGGGGATATAATTCCATGCGCCTTGTGCCATTCTATCGATTCCCACATGTGAATCTTTCAATTCCCTCACATACAGCTAAAAAGCGCAAGCAGAAATGACGAAATCAAAGCAGAAACACACGAATAGTGGCAAGAAGAGGTGAGTATACAAAACTATATGTTCCCTTTCGATTAGAAATACCGAGAACTATCGCAGACAAGCTTATAATAACTCGGTTAATTAGGACTAAAGTCAGGGTCTCGTCGATTTTTCGCCATATCACTCAGGTTAACTACAAATTTTTTTATGTGTGGGGCAATGTTGTGACTGTTGGCGTGTGACTGCAATCTGGGGGTTTATTGCCATCGAATTGAATCTTCTCATGTTTGATACTCTATAAGGGAATAAAATCTTGAGGAAGTATATGGGATAAATCATTGTGTATGAAAATAGAGTCTGATGACACACATCCTGGCTGTACTCTGGTACTGTTGGGCAAATTCATACAAAAAAAAATATTCACCAAATTGAGTTATTGACTTGAAAACACATCAGATTCAGACAATTAACGTTAGTCTGAACCTAGACAGCAATAACCATCTGATTTGGGTCATTTCTTTAATAAAACTGACATTTGTTGTCATTCCCCAATACAGATGGCAACCCAGAGATCTCGTACCGTGGGGGTAAATTAGAGCCACAGCGTAACAGCTTTTCGTTACCGACATTTCTCCCCCGATTTTCTTTATTTAGATCTAATTTCCTGATTTCTAAATCAGATGTAAATTAGGTCGATATGTCATTTGTCCTAATTACAGTTATCAAAATTTGATAACTCAATATTAAATGTATAATTTACGGACTTACTTATATGAATTATCCAATTTGTATCTTAGTCCTGTGAAACAGTACGTTCATGCACTCGAAAATAGAGCTAGAGTAAAGTACCCGGTTTTCGGCCACTTAAGACAAAATCCTATTTATTGGACTCTTTACTTCCTATTTATTATCATTTCTTGTTCGAATCATGAAGCAAATATTATTATTATTTAAACAAAAAAAGAATCCCAAAAAAAAATCACGAATTGCCATGACAATATTCATTTCAATTTTCACTGTTTTGGAGCCGGTTATCGGCCGAGCGTTTCAGTTTACGGCTGCATGTACAAAGTCAATAGGAAGCGCTCGCGCGCGCCGTGCGTTTCTGCGCTGATGTATAGCACAAGCGGGCGGAGCAGGTATCCCACGCCGGAGCTCCCGGGTGCTCGCCTGGCCGAATACAGGCACAGCGGTGATCGGAAGTTGGAATCTGAATTAGACAGACATATCGTGTGTGCGTCGTGGTGTGCGGCTGCATTGATTTAATACATGCGATGAGATACTTTTGAGCTTGCGACCAGCACAAAATCGGGCTCTATATCTGAAAAATACTTGAAATAAAGCTCATTTTATGGTACCCATATTTCTTACATACACGCGTAAGAAACTCGATTTTTCAGATTTGGGTAGCGGGACCGCCGATTACATCGCTAAAATGTGATATTTTAGGATATATTTTTCATTGCAAATGTGGTTCTTCAGTGACACTGGCATGGTATGGTATGTGTGGGACATGTGTTATGCTATTATGCGATGTATTTTAAAGTGATTTTACCATGTATCCAACCAATTGGCCGAAAACCGGAGCTGACCGATTACCGGGTACTTTACTCTATATGACCCGGCGGCCGGTATATTTCCGGGTCAACCTACGCCAATGGCCAATCAGAGCACTCGTTTCGTGGGAGTTCGTTGGTCAAGCTGGGCCGACTCGTACGTAGCTACGGTAGCTATTGGACGTTTGAAAAGAAAAAATGAATATTCATCAACTAAAACCAAGACGGATAATGTTGACGACGAGACTTTCTCGGATTAATCATTAATTTAGGATCTAAATGAGCAAGCTATCGTAAGTCAAATAAGCTATATATATGTTATTTTTAATTGTTATTATAATTGCAGCAGTTATGAGGATGTAAAGAGTGAAAATTTCGTTGCATATCTCATTCATCGCGGTCCGGTCGAACCGAACCATTTGTTCTGTACAGTCCCTCACAGTAAGAGGTCCCCATCGTTCAGTCTCTATAATCGGAGGTCTAGTGGAGCCAGACGTAGTCTCAGCGGAACAACCGACGATTAGAGAGACTGAAGTTTTCGGTCTAGTCTGAACCATGTCAGGAGCAAATTTGATGAAATTAGCTTTTTAATTGTTGTACAACCAAAGATAGAGTAAAGGAGCCGGTAATCGGCCAGCTCCAGTTTTCGGCCGATTGGTTGGATGCAAGGTAAAATCACTCTAAAATACATCGCATAATAGCATAACACATATCCCACACATACCATACCATGCCAGTGTCACTGAAGAACCACATTTGCAATGGAAAATATATCCTAAAATATCACATTTTAGCGATGTAATCGCCGGTCCCGCTACCCAAATCTGAAAAATCGAGTATCTTACGCGTGTCTGTAAGAAATATGGGTACCATAAAATGAGCTTTATTTCAAGTATTTTTCAGATTTAGAGCCCGATTTTGTGCTAGTCGCAAGCTCAAAAGTATCTCATCGCATGTATTAAATCAATGCAGCCGCACACCGCGACGCACACACGATATCTCTGTCTAATTCAGATTCCAACTTCCGATCACCGCTGTGCCTGTCTTCGGCCAGGCGAGCACCAGGGAGCTCCGGCGTGGGATACCTGCTCCACCCGCTTGTGCTGTACATCAGCGCGGAAACGCACGGCGCGCGCGAGCGCTTCCTATTGACTTTGTACATGCAGCCGTAAACTGAAACGCTCGGCCGATAACTGGCTCCAAAACAGTGAAAATTGAAATGAATATTGTCATGGCAATTCGTGATTTTTTTCTGGGATTCTTTTTTTGTTTAAATAATAATAATATTTGCTTCATGATTTGAACAAGAAATGATAATAAATAGGAAGTAAAGAGTCCTAAAAATAGGATTTTGTCTTAAGTGGCCGAAAACGGGCTCCTTTACTCTATAAGAAGAAGTATTCTTACTAAAAATGTCCTTAGACATTCGACAGCTGAAAGTGACGCGCACGGTTGCGTTGCGTGCATTCTCGTAACCAAAATCGTACCGCGCGCACACAGTCTCACCATACCACGAATGGTCTGTCATGGGAAGGTAGCGGGCTGGAAGTTTGCCAGCGAGACCAATGCCCCTTCGGAGATTCCAGCGCACGCAATGCCCCTTAGCGGGATTCGCAAAAGGTTTTAGCGGGACTCAAAAGGTTTTGCGATGGGAAGGCAGCGGCCTAGCTTTTTGCCAAAACAACGCTAGATTGGCTGCTGGCAAAATGAAAATAACTACGATCGAGAATCGTCGGTTTCTTAACTTTTCAGTGAGATAATTCTGAATTCTAATTGAGACTAGACCCTATATAATGAATTAAACCGACAAAAAAACCTTGGTAGATCTCTAATAACTATACAAAAGCTTGTTTATTTCTCCATTTGACATTTTGTTTTTGAGCCTTTTTTGTGTGCGCAAGTCAATGCAAACTATGTATTACCTAACTTTTAACACGCAAGGAACGGGGAACACTCGCGGACCTCGTATCAAATTTGTTGCAAAAAAAAAAATTTCCAGGGTGATTTTGAAGCAGTGAAGAATATTTGCGCTGCAATGCACAGAAATATACTTGAAAGAAACTTAAAAAGTCATACCTAAATTTTCAGAAAATCGTATTTGTATTACTGTGCCTAGATGTGATTTATCTTAAACCCAGATTTTTGGTAGATTTGTCAGAAGAAAAAAAAAAAAATTCCCGTTTGGTGGTCATTTCTAGGCTAATATTTAAAAAGTTGCATCAGTAATGATGTTTCTCTTATTGTACTCATATGTTATTTTTACTTAGATTAAACATAGGATGGTTAGGGGTAAGACCGGATAACATTAAAAAAAAGATATATCCTTCCACCCTCCCATATCCAAGTTTTGGGCTGATTAGTGCCGACCCACCGCAGATAAAGTATGTGCGCGGGGCGCCCTCTAGTGCTCCGTGAACGTGCCTAGCTGTGTATTACTAAGGGCAAGTTGGCAACACCAGTATCTACAGTAAAGCACTCTGCATGCAGCGGCACATTATTAAACACAATTTTTTGTAAAGCCTATGGTATGATACTTTTAAATGGGTTTATAAACAATTTAATGAATCAATGATGATGACAAATAAGTAATGAATGGATGTCACAGCCTACCTTTACCGATGGGGCCAACCGTCTTCAGCTTCAGCTATGTTCCGTCATTTTCTAATTTTATGACGTTTTTTTCAAAATGAAGGGAGACCTCATCGCCCGATTACATCTCATTTGTTTATCGTTGCGATCGGTTGTTAAGACAGGTCAGCGGCAGGGGACATGAACGAACGAACAAGCGGCAGGCTATCTGGGCTGGCAAGATAGATGGCAACGCCCACCCGTCGAATATAGCGCAACTGCTTTAAGCCCCACCGCACTAGTTTGGCCAGGAGGGATAAGACCTCCAGGCCAAGCAAGGTCACTGACAGGTGGTTATCTCATCTAATCAGCTCTCAATTAACATAAGAAAAAGAGGATCATAGGGGACCAATGGTCACCAATGAGGCATTGTTTGCTATATAGAGGGTGCAAGTAGCTATCAGTAGTGCAGTGGGGCTTTCCGCCCCCTCCAGTGAAAAAATACACGGGGGCTCGGGGCGAATTAGCCCCCGAAATGCCTAAAAGAGCCCCCGAAAATCAGAAAAGAGCCCCTGTAAATTTGCATAGAGTTCAATGCAAAACAAATTTTAGAATGGTATTTTCATGCAGGCAAGCTTGAAAAGTAGCCCCCGAAAAATAAACATTAATTTTTTCCCTGGCCCCCTCCACACTCTGACTCCAAAAAACTATCAATCACCTCTGCAACTTGATAGAAAATGGTAGTTTCATTGCAAATGATATTAGAACATAGACTTCTCTGAAAGAGATTATGACAAGTCTCACTCAAAACTAAATTACTTACCTGCTTACATTTTCTCTTATTTTTTTCTAGAGAACCCCCCAAATGAAAGTTGTATTAGATCTATTTAAAGGGATCCGGTAACTTTGTCTCAGATTCTGAAACAAAATCCTGGATTTAGCTCATGCATGCTACAATGATAATTATAAACCTTTAGGGCAGTCAGGAACCCCATGACTATTACAAGCCAATCGCCTGTCTGATTATGAAGATATTTATGATTGGAAATCAAAACAAAATTTTGCGTTTGCCAAACGGTTTTCACCACACTACAGTTTATTTGGGGAAACGAGTATGGTAAAACCGGTCACTCAAAGGTTTTTACTTTTTTGAGGCTCTTCTTGAAGTTCTTGATCATTTTAAAGTGCAATTTTTTTTTTAGGGCTTTAATATTACACCATATCACAGACACTGATAACATGTAGGGCCGTGCAGATTTAACATCGTTAAACGATGCCTTTAATAATGATTTTTTTTTTTGCAGCAAATTGGCAGATATGTCCATAGATGACTTAATGGCAGAGGATATCGTGTCTGAAGAAGAAGATGATGATGATCAACATGACAACAATGAAAAGACAGATGGAAAAGAGCCAAAAAGGTAATTGTGACCAGCACTACAAAAATTGTTTCTGTTGTTATAATATTAAAGGTAAAGACCAGTATTGGAAACGCCTCAATTTCAAAAAATGAAATGGAAGCTCTCATTACCAATCATGTGAAAGAATATGTTTTTGACTAATACATGACGATAAAAAATTTGCCGGGAAACTGCCTACCAATTCATATATTTGGTAAATTTGTTTCTCTCATGGTCTGTGAGAGATATAGGGTAGTCCCATATACATCTTTCTGTGTATAGCGCTTGTAACTTTACGAAGAATGGGCCTAATTTCTTATCATTTTGATGATTCCAGAACCTTGCAGATGCTAGATGCTAGATGATCAACCTTTTCTGATTGATTCCACAACGTTTCTTTCACAATGCAATCGCATGACCATAACTGGTCTTTACCTTTAACAGGGAAAAAATGTGTTTCTTATACACAGAGATTTACGGTATGTGAGACAAAGGCACAAATTCACAAAGGAGATTTAGATTTCCTGTAAACAAACCCATGGTTTAAAAATTAGCGCAAAATGAGCGTCATTGCCTTGCGCGTCTAATATTGGACCTCTGACTTGTGTTTATTGCGCTTATTTTGTGCTTATTTCAAACCATGGGTTATGTAAATGAGGGTTTAAACCATGGGTTAAATCCTAGTTAAATCTAAACCTCCTTTGTGAATTCGGGCCAATAGGTGAACAACATTTGAGAATTTGAGAATGAAAACAGGGTGATAGAACGCAATAGAAAATGTTTTAACGATGTAGCTTTGTACCAAGCATTCTGTGAATCTTTTATAATCATTGTAGCGGGAAAGTCACCAAGATCACAGGCCACAAGCAATCCTTGGAGAAACTGAAGACGTCTGACCCGGAATTCTTTGAGTTCCTGCAGGAGAATGAAGGAGGGCTCCTGAACTTTGATGAATCGGATGATTCGGAGATGGAGAGTGAGGAGGAAGAGGAGCTGGAGGACGATGAGGAGGAAGATGGGAGTGGAGATGAGGATGATCTGGATACAAAGAAGCCCGGCGAGGTAATGAAAATACAAAGTTAATTCTAATTCTAATTTTGAGAAATTGTGAGCAGGAAGAGAAGGAGCTGGAGGAAGATGACGACGATGAAGAAGAAGGGAGTAGAGATGAAGATGATCTGGATACAAAGAAGCCTGGTGAGGTAATAAAAATACAAAGCTTATTCTAATTCTAATTTTGAGAAATTGTGAGGAGATCGGCGGATCAACCTGTGGGAAGCGGTCAGGTTTGCCTAGGATTTATTCAATTCAGCTCTCATTTTTTTGTTAAATATTCCTCTTAAAGATGTGGAAACTTCACAAGAACTTTAATAGAAATGTGATTATCTTGCTGTCTTCAAAAATCATAGTAACAATTTGATATCCTAGGCACACCAAAAAGACTGACTACAGACTGTCAACAGAACCAGTGAAAAAGAACCTTACCCTACCACAATGCTCCAGAATCGGTCAGTGTAGTGTTGGTTTCGGTTCAGTTTAGCCATTTGACTGTATTTATTATTTGAGTTTTACAAGGCTAAATCGCTCACCAGTTCTCTATTTTTTCACCGATTTCTTCTCATTTTTTACTCCAGGTTGACAGTGATGAAGAAGACTTTGTTGATGAGGATGATGATGGAAGCAAGAAGAAGAAGAGGGGTGGTATTCCAGTCACCCTGGCTCTCGTAGATAAATGGAGGCAGCAGCTTGAGGTATGCAGGCTACATACATGATGATGATGATATAGATGATGATGATGGTGATTATGATGACGACGATGACGATGATGATGAGGATGATATAGATGATGATGATGACGGTGATGATGATGATGACGATGATGATGATGATGATGATGATGAGGATGATGATGGAAGCAAGAAGAAGAAGAGGGGTGGTATTCCAGTCACCCTGGCTCTGGTAGATAAATGGAGGCAGCAGCTTGAGGTATGCAGGCTACATACATGATGATGATGATATAGATGATGATGATGGTGATGATGATGACGACGATGATGATGATGATGATATAGATGATGATGATGGTGATGATGACGATTATGATGACGACGATGACGATGATGATGATGATGATGATGATGATGATGGAAGCGTGAAGAAGAAGAGGGGTGGTATTCCAGTCACCCTGGCTCTGGTAGATAAATGGAGGCAGTAACTTGAGGTATGAATGCTACAAACATGATGATTAGATGAAGATGATAGTGGTGATGGTGTTGGTGATGATGATGATGCTGATGATGATGATGATGGTGTTGATGATGATGATGGAAGGAAGAAGAAGAAGAGAGGTGGTAGTTCGACTTAGGACCTTTGTGAAACACCCCCAGGGATAAAGTAATCCTACTAGATATGTACACATGTCTGTCAAAACCTTACTGGCCACAATGACTACAACAAATTTTCTTGTGCCTGTACAGAAAAATTCAGTGAAAGCATTGAGGGAAGCGATGAAAGCATTCCGTGCTGCAGTACAACAAGCAGGAGCTGAAGAACGTGTCAGGACAAAGTATGCCGTAGATGGATCAGCAGGTGAGTGAAGATCAATGTCTTCTCAATTCAATTTGATTCATTTAATTTTCCTCTTTCAATTGTTCATATTTACAATTTAAATTCCCATATTCATATACATCTAGATCAAGTCCCATACAAATCTGCCTGCGATACAGTACTAGCTTAAAAATTGATGAAGATTTGCTAAATTACTGTAAATTTATAATAATATTGACGAATTTGGTGTCGGTTTTTAGAAAAATCTACGAGAAAATTATGATTATTTTGTTTGGTCCGTTTGTTTTGTTTTATTTTGTTGGGGATGCGGCCTGTGTGGCGCTGCGCCCCTATCGCCGGCAAGTACGGTAATGTAAGAAGACGAATCAATCTTGTTATTAGAGGTTCCTTTCAAGTGTTTTGACATATGTTTTGTTTCTCTTTCAGCGTTCAATGCGGTTGTGTCTCTATGCTTGAAGCAAGTGTATCCAGTACTTCAACGCTCCTTGGAGTTAGAGGATAAAGCTGGCAAAACGTGAGATTTGATTTGATTTGATTTATTTATTTCTGTTTGATTTTCTTTTTCTTTTGCACTTTTACAAATATATAACAAACAAAACATTGCAAATTTTACACATTTCAAAAGAATATAATTTTGAATGAAGTAACTAATCGAAAACATCAAACAGGAGGGTTGACAAAGTAAGCAAAGCTTGATAGCATGACTACCCTCAATGGATACATAATAATATGAATATGATGGAACAAATGTTGGTAAAAGGGGAAAGAGAGAGAGAGAAAGAAGAATAAAGAAAGAGGGGGTATACATCAAGATTCACAGATGTAGTACATGTGGTACAATGTAGTTGGATTTCAATTTGATATATGAAGATAAAACAAAGAAGATACACATTTGAATATCGGGTGGCCAACTTGGGATATAGTATAGAATGAGAAGACTCACAAGGTTTCTGGCCAATATGAATAGAAATGTGAGATCAGCGAGCTGGTTTATATAGACTGTAAACCTTTGTTTGTTTACAAAACAGGTTTTGGGAGTATCCCAAGTAGGCCACTCTTTATTCATAAGTTTATTCATACCAGGTCCTGGAAGGTTATAATCAATGTTTCAATGAATGAATGTATGGAGATCATACGGTCACTGTTGTTAGGTTTGACTGTATTAGTCAAACATGAAATTTAATCAAGAGTTGTATTTTTTATTTTTGTTTTTTCTCTTCACAGACCACCGTCAAGTTCTCCCAAATGGAAACACCATCACGTAGATGTTAAAGCCTATCTCACCGATCTCATTAAGGTCCATATCCAAGTCCATAATCACTATCCTAAAACCAGAATGTTTGCAAATTGTAAATGACAGACATTTTCACAGCAAGAAGATGTCATGAATTGCAAAAATTCAGTGTAATTGAAGAATTCTGTTGCATAAAGCTTTCACAAGTCTGAACTATGCGCAAAATGTTCTAATATTGAATGCGCACGATTTATTTTTTTGTTTTACAGTATTCTTAAAAGTGTACTTTCTTTAGTCCAGTTTTAATCTCTGACCATAAACTGTGAAGATTCAGATTCAGTTCAGTGTTACAGTGCTACATGTATGAATGCCAACTTCTTCATTCCTTGAAAAATATTTTAATTCTGTAACTTGATGAACAAACACAAATCTTGTTATAATGACATTATTTTGTTTTCTTCATTTTCATGAGTTTGATCAGGGATACCAATTTTCATGCCCTGGCAAGTTATTTTCAGACCATAGTTTAGGCTTTTTTCTGTACAAAATAGCTCATTCTAGGTGATTTTCGGGACCTCTGATCAATTCTAACTGGCATCCCTGTTTGATATATTTCTTTGTAATTATCAGAACAAAGTGATAGGACAAGTCATTGTCTTCACTCTGGCACTCTGTCAATACTGGCTGTGTAGTATGTGTAAAGTGAAGATAGACATCTATGCAAGCACCAAAAACTGTAGTTCACCTATTTTTCAGCCTGTTATAATGATTAAAGATAAAGTTGAGTTCTGGTAATCCTATTGCATTGTGAAAGAAAAGGTGTGGAATGGATCAGAAAAAGTTTAGCATGTAGCATGTAAGTATTGGTGTGTACTGCAAAGTTCTGGAGTCGTCAAAATCATAATAAATTTGGCCCAGTCTTGGTAAAGTAACAAGCACTGTACACAGAAAGATGTATATTTGACTACACAAATGGTGTCGGGGCAACTAACCTTGATTTCCTAATCTTTCTATGCTCATTACTCAGCCAGTATACATTTTCTACCAAAATTGTTGGCAAATGACATTTATTTGTAATCTTGAACATTCAGTGTAAGTTTCGTTTGATTCTGTGAGAATTTGTTTTCTTTTTTTTACCAGAACTCACATTTATCTTTAACATACCGTACTTTTCGCTAACTAAGAACACCCTCCCCTTCTTTTTATACGAATCATGAGTAATCACCTTGCTGTCTGAATGTTTGATATTATTGTATTTGAATACTAAGTTAAATCTTGATTCTTTTTTCTTTTGTTTTCACTCTCAGCTGTTAGGCAATGTCGCTGAGCCAAGCGTAGTGAGTGTGGTGCTACGTCATGTGAGGAACCTCATCCCTTACTACACATGCTTCCCAAAACTCGTCAAGGTCATCATCAAGGTCAGTTGTATGCTTACGTAAATAATCATATCTGATTGATACACGTCTGTAAAAACCCAATTACACGCATTACACACATTAAATATTTAGGTATTAGTCACTACAGACAATTAATTTTTGTTGGGGGTGGTCTGGGGGGTGTTTCACAAAGATCCTAAGTTGAACTTATCTCCAAGTTGGACTTACAATTATGGAGAGCCGTTAGCATATTTGAAAATACTTTGTAAAAGTTATTTTAAAAGGCATAAAATGTTGATACAAATAATTCATATTTTCTATTATGATGAGAGATTTCATGTTCAAGTCTAAAATACTGGAATTTTTGCTTTTGAATATATTTCATTATAAGGCTACAAATGGCTCTCCATACTTTTCAAGTCCAACTTGGTGTTAGGTTTGACTTAGAATCTTTGTGAAACACCCCCCTGATGTTGGTGTCGTTGGTGTGACTGGGGTGATAAGGAACAGGGAGTTGATACAGGGGTGGGGGAGGGGGGAGGGTACGGTATTTAGTAGAGGTGTTGTGGATGAGTGGATATGTCACCGGACTGTGGATCACAAGGTTCGCGGTTCAAGTCCCCCCACGGCACTTATGTCCTTTGGCAAGACATTGATCTACATTTGTCACTCTCCACCCAGGTGTTAAATGGGTACCCGGTAGGATGCGAAAGCTAATGTGGTTAGATTAGCGCTTGTAAAAAAAGACGCCTGGCTGGATTGCTCCCCAGGGAGTGGAGAATGTGCATACATTGTGTGCGGGTAAGCCTGAATCCTATGACCGGGGTAATAATATATATATATATATATATATATCTGTAAAGCGCTTTGAGAGGGCCTTCGGTCCTGAAAAGCGTTATATAAGAACTAGCTATTATTATTATTATTATTATTTAGCCTACGTTGTCAGTGAGTGGGAGAGGGAGGGGGGGGGGGGGGGGAGGGGTTGATCCATCATGCACAAACTTAACATAATATGTTTTTGGAAATAGAAAGTTATGCTCCAGATTCATAGCCTGCATTAATCTTCTGAATTTATGATATTTGACATTTACAGGAATTATAATCAGGGATGATCATTTATAGCACCTTTTGAGGTATAGATGATGTTATCAATTTTGTTTGCTTTCACAGAAACTGGTAAATCTGTGGAGTACAGGGGAAGAGACAGTACGAGTTCTGGCCTTCCTGTGTCTGTTCTCAATTGTGAGATGTACGAAACAATCCAGACTGGACTTCATTCTTAAGGTGAGAATGGGACAGATGCGCGATATCCATGCTGATGCAAGGGGATGGGTTTTATGACATTAAAGGCATCCTTTAACAATGTTAAATCTGTGATGCACGGCCCTACGTGTTATCAGTGTTTGTCTTATGGTGTAATATTGAAGCCCTAAAAAAAAATCACGCTTCAAAATGATCTAGAAGTGCCTCAAAAAGTACAAATCTTTGAGTGACCAGTTTTACCATACTTGTTTTCCTCAATAGACTGTAGTGTTATGAAGACTGTTAGGCAAACACAAAATTTGGTTGTGATTTCCAGTCATAAATATCTTGAAAATCAGACAGGCTTGTAAAAGTCATGGGGTTCCTGAATGACCTAAAGGTTTATAATTATCATTGCAGCACGAGCTAAATCCAGGATTTTGTTTCAGAACCTGAGACAGAGTTACCGGATCCCTTAACTATTTATTTGCACAAGAATCCTGTATTAGCCTCCTTGATGTGAAATGCTAATGTTTGATATTGTCAAGCACTTTTAAAAACTTTCTACTGCTTTTAAAAAAAACTATAGAATGCTGTAATTTTAGGAAATAAAATAAAAAGATCAAATTGGACTGACTTTGACTGGGTTAAAGATAAACTTGGGTTCTGGTAATGCGATTGCATTGTGAAAGAAAAGGTGTGAAATGGATCAGAAAAGTTGATCATATAGCATGTAAGTAATGGTGTGTAATGCAAGGTTCTGGAGTCATCAAAATCATCATAAATTTGGCAGAGTCTTGGTAAAGTAACAATCACTTACACAGAAAGCTGTACATGGGACAACACACATGTTGTCGGGGCTGGTACTACCCTGATTTCCTTATCTTTCTATGCTCATTACTCAGCCAGTATACATTTTCTTCCAAAATTGTTTGGCACATGACATTTATTTGTAATCTTGAACATTCAGTGTAAGTTTCGTTAGATTCTGTGAAAATTCATTTTCTTTTTTTACTAGAACTCAAGTTTATCTTTAATTTTAGTCCTCTGATATATGGAGCGCCAAGTATTAAGCTTTGTCTTCTTATCAAAATACTTTTGACGTATAAAAACATGAAACCAGTCATGAAGGAAAAATGGCAACTGATTTCATGTTGACATGATTTTGTGTTTGTTCCTGTTTAATGATATCTAAAGAATCATTGTGATTTTATGGGATGAGAAGGTTAATCCTTTCACGACATGATTTATTTTTAAGGTTAGATTGTTCACATTGTTTTTCAAATGGCAACATGGATATTTTTCTTTTAAAGCTTATCTGTACTAGTTTTAAAGGAGGGATTAGTACTCCCTGCAAGATCTCAATTAACATAACAATTAACAGAATAAATTAACAATTAACATAAGAAAAAGAGGATCATTGGGGACCAACGGGCACAGCTTAAGCATTGTTTTCTATATAGAGGGAGCAAGTAGCTACAAGTAGGACAGTGTGGCTTTTATTGCTATAATGTTAAAATAAAAGGTTGTGTTTACAAAAACAATGTTCATGGGTTCAAAGGTTGCAAAAATGTTGCATAAATAAGCAAATTTTGATTGAAAACTAATAATTTTGAGTTTCTCAACTCTTGCCAACTTAGAGATGTTAAAACTTATTTTCCTTGATAAAATTCATGTCATCAAACACAATTTAGTCATGCTAAAATGGATGCAGGGTGTGCAGAAATAGTTGCCCTTTCTATTCATGCATATTTTTTTTTTTTTTTTTTTTGGGGGGGGGGGGGTGGTTTAGCCCTGGTGTAAATTTAGTCTGTTTTCATAAAGGCAAAACTTTGTGATTAATTATGTAATGGCACCTTCTTTTTCTTCAAGATGCATAGTAGTGGGCTCTCTTTGGGAATTTAACACCATTCAGGTGTTCACCCAATAACAGGTGTTGTCAATCACCAGGACTAGCCTTCAGTTTTATGACCAACTGGCCTTGTGTAATACTCTGCATTTTCACCCATCCCCCCCCCCCCCATGTGGTAGTGACTGTCTGAGAGAATAAGGGTATTTCTTGATGGGTTCGCTGTGTGCGAGACGTGCACACCCATTAATAGTATTTCCACCACGTCAGCGAATATTAAATGACCTTCTGCACACAGAAACTGACAACCATCCCCCCTTTCTTTAACCACAGCAATTGTACCTTGCCTACGTGCGCAACACCAAGTTCACTTCACCCAGTACTCTACCAGTCATCAACTTCATGCAGCGATCCATGACTGAGATGTTTGCTCTCAACACCCAGCTCACGTACCAGCATGCTTTCATCTACATCCGCCAGCTGGCCATACACCTCCGAAACGCTATCACGGTCAAGAAGAAGGTACGTTTTCTGTATCCTTGTCGTGTTCATGCTAGATCTATCTATGAGTGCGTTTATCACGTCTTGTCACTCAGAATCAGCGTTTCTATATGTACATATCGAACCGGCAGAGTATCAAACAAAATGAGCAGGGCATCTAATGAAATGTGTAGATTTTATCCAGGCAACTAACCCTGTCTCCCTACATCATTGTCCCATTTGTATTTATCTGTGTTGGCTATATTTCTTTTTTGGAGGGGGGCGGGGGGGGGGGGATTTTTTGCTACGATGTTTACATTGGAGTAGCCTGATACTGTTACACGAAGATAATTCACAATGGCGTTTAACAATTTTTTCTTGAAAGGAAGCTACACAATGAGGCGTCAAAATTGACTGAATTTAAACCTTTTTTCTTCTTCAATGATTGATCTTGCTGTAGGACATGTACCAGTCTGTCTACAACTGGCAGTACATACACTGCATCTACCTCTGGTGTCGAGTGTTGGCTACACTTCACAACGATGAAACACTCAAACCTCTGGTGTATCCTCTAGTCCAGACATCCATAGGTGTCATCAAGTAAGTTTGATGTTTGGTGTTTGGTGTTTGCTGTATAGTTAGACCAGTAAAAGTGTTGATAAGCGCCTTGAACACCATATTATAGCTATTCAAGGCATTCTCATAATTTTTCCTGGATATTTTTATTCATTGCTGTAATAGGTCAAATTATATATTATCATTTTGCAACACCTTATATTGTTCTTAACTCCGTGTTAAAGGTAATACAAAGTTTTGGTATGGGGGTCATGAATTTGGTTCCAATGAACATATTGGAAGCATATGCAATCCTACAATATTCAGTGATTGTTCTCGCGGTTGAAATCAAGTCTGAAGTGATAAAATTGTAAATAATTAACTCTTTATGTTGTATAGCTCCCTCTCAAGGTCAAAATGTTAATTCAGCTATAAAACAATGTTTCTTGTCTATAATCAACCAATTGGCTCTTCCCGTTGGGAAATTATATATTACAACAACATATTCTGAGATTTTCATGGTCGCAGCTACCATTGTATGGCCGTAGGCGCTATTTTGATTTTCAATTTTTCTCGAAAGCAGAAGTGTTTTTTTGTTATTGCTTATAATAAATCCACATGGGCATCAAAATATATCAAAATTGTAAAGAATCACTATCCAGCCAATTTTCAAAATTTCCCAAAACTTGGTATTACCTTTAAGAGAAACTGTTACACCCTCTTTATTTGAACCACAGGCTCATCCCAGCAGCACGCTACTACCCCCTACGGTTCCATGTGGTACGGGCCTTGAATCTCCTCTCAGAAGCTACTGGTACCTTCATCCCGCTCCTTCCATTCGTCTTGGAGGTATGTCAAATGTATTTTTTTCTCCATGAACAGTCCTGTGCGTATCTCAGGCCTGATAATTACCCGGTTTCTTGATTACTTTTTTTTGTCTTCCCAATTTTTCCCAATTTTTTTTTTTTCCTACCGATTTTCCCCTTTTTTCTAGATTTTCCCCAATTTTTCCCCAATTTTTTTTCATCAAAAGGGGGTGGGGGGATGTTGTCAGATGCCATTTTTTCCCCTAAATGTTTGTTTGTTTTACTCAAGGGGGTGTGGTTGAGGAACCCCCCCTTTTTTTTTATTTAGTGCTCACTATCACCCCTGGTATCTATAATATCTGTTTATATTGTAACTTGGGTATTTCATTTTAGAGAGGTAAAAGCACAATGTCTTTTCTTACTTCTGTTAAATTTTAACTAAGTTATCAGATCCATCAAAATGTCAGTTGTATTAAAAAAGTAGCCCAGTAAGATCTGTTCCATTGATCAAATACTTCCAAATTAATAAATCCCAGCATGACCAGAACTCAACTTTATCTTTAAACTAGCCTATTCATGTTTCATTCTTAGGTTCTGCAGCAGACCGATTTCAACAAGAAGCACTCCATTGCTAGCTTCAAACCTCTCAACTTCGCCGTCATGTTGAGACTTTCAAACTCACAGCTGAAGGAGAGAGCCTTTAAGGTGAGAGAGATTCACTTTTCGTTAAAGCCACACTGTCCTAGTGGTAGCTACTTGCTCCCTCTATATAGAAAACTTCCCCAATCGGTGCCTGTTGGTCCCCATGAACCTCCATTTCTTATGTTGATTGAGAGCTGAGTTAATGAGATAGCCACCTGTCAGTGACCTCGCTATGTGGTCTAATCCCTTTTGGCTGAACTAGTACAGCCCGCCTTTAACCCTATTTTAACTGGGCTATTTCAGACCAGGTTTTTACTGGGGGGGGGGGGTCAATTTGACCCCCCCCCCCCCCAAGATCTCGGCCATTTCACTGCCGATCGCCTACATGTCAAGTGAAGTGTATAGAATACTATGGTCCGATACGTCCGATTTTCAAAAAAATCGTTTTAAAACATGCGTAAGACTCAAAAGAAAAAAGCCGTGAAAGGAAAATTTTATATCTGCCGCGGTTTCGGAGTAGTCACGAAATTTCTACAGGGGGGGGGGGGGGTCAAATTGACTCCCCCCCCCCAGTTAACGTAGGGTTAAATAAGTCCACATATTTTATGTCTCTTCTTTTATAATAATAATAATATGGATATTTATATAGCGCCGGTATCCACCAGGCTCTGACGCTCATGGCGCTTTACACACATTACCCTGATTGTAGCGAAGCAGCCAAAGTAACATGTTTTATGTATGCTAGCAGACTTAATCAACTCTGAATTTGGCAGAAAGTTACACCTGGGTGGAGAGTGGTAAATGTAGATTAACATCTTGCCATTAGTGCGGTGGCAGGACTTGAACCCTGTACCTTGTGATCTGCAGTGGGGTGACTTTTCCACTAGACCACACCACCTCTTTGATAGGAGAGGCTGCTTCAGGATTCTGTAAAAGAAGGATAGGAGCTGCCACACTTCCTAAAGATTTCTGACAACACATAAAAAAAGACAATAGTTATCAAAAGTTTTAGATGCTAATCTACTTATCTCTGAAAAATTCTCTGAAAAATTCTCTGAAAAGAGGAAAAAGAAAAAAAGGTGGGGGGGGGGAAATAATTCAGGTTTTTCAGGTGCCTTTTGGGTCTAAAATGGAAAGAAAGGGCACACCAAGTATAATTTGTTTGATATTCCACTGAGGGTTTAAAGATGGGCATGGGCTGGTCATGCTCCCTCCCCCATCCCCCTCCCCCCCTCCCAAAAAAAGGATCTGCCAGTGCATTATTTAATCCATTTCTAATCTCTCCTAGGATGGTGTGATGGATCAAGTGTATGATCTTCTCATCGAGCATCTTCAGGTTCACTGCCATCGAATCGGCTTTCCTGAGCTGGCTCTTCCAGTAGTTCTGGAGGTGAGATAATAATAATAACAATACTCAGTTTTAATATAGCGCCTATTAGAATCAGTGCTTCCAAACTTGGAGATTATTACCCGGCTTTAGCTGTGCTGCCATTACGGCGCTCTATAGCATTTCAAGGAATTAATTCCTGCCAGGTACCCATTTACATCACCTGGGTTGAGTGTGGCAAATGTTGATCTATGTCTTGCCAAAGGACATTAGTGCCGCAGTCCTTGTGATTGACAGTCTGGCGACTTAACCACTCGACCACGGTACCTCTACTCTTTTTGTTAAATAATTATCATGAAGTTCAGTTTATTGCATTGTCCATAGTAAAATCCAAAACTCTTCTGGTTAATCTCAAAAATATATAGGAGGGTAAAAAAAAAAAAATTCTGGCGATAATTTTTATAAATGAAATATGTTCAGAGTTGTGAAAATTATTTTTCTAGTTCGCCAGAGAAAAACTGATTGATTGATTGATAACAAAAAGGTGAAGTCTGATTGGTAGAACTTAAGATAATTAACACACAAAAAATTTCTTATGGTGATAAAATTAAAGTTGACCGAAACGTAACAAAGAAAAGTTATCATTGAATGTTGGCTATTTGCAAGTGAAAAAACAAAAATAGAAACAGTGACATTGGGAGAGTTGAAGTCACCACAACGTGTTCATCTTGCAGTTGTTATTGCCTCTGCTACAAAGTAGCCGGAGGCATTATGTTTTTGTGTTGTCCGTCGGTACATCCCACAGAGCTGCCAACCATTATGTTTTTCCCTCCAAATTTGTTTTCTTCATAAAATATGTTTTTTTAATTTTTTTAAATTTTACATAGTGCACGTCAAACATCTGCCCTAAAATGATCACAAATTCAACAGAAAAATATTGTTAATACATGCTTGAAGAGAAAAATATTCTCAACAAGAATGAAACTCTGATCATACGAAAATAACAACAACAGAATACCTACTTGTAAATAAACTATAGGTCCTAATATGGGAAAAAACAGCATGTGGAATGGACATTTCCGCATTGGAAGTTTGTCGCGCGTGGTTGTAAGTTTTGTTTCAATGAATTCCTTTTTTTTTGCTTGAAATTCCTTTTTTTTGCCGTCATGGTTTCCTTTTTTGGCCATACAAGGTTGGCAGCTCTGATATTCCCAAGTCACCACAACGTTTTAATCTTGTTTGATATGTAAAAGCTCTGCATCCATTTTAGAATCATGTCTTCTCTTTGATTTTTCAGTTGAGAACATTCCTGAAGAAATGCAAGGTGGCCAACTTCACCCGTCAGATGAAGCAGTTCTTGGACAAAGTTCTGGAGAATTGTCAGGAGATCACCAAGCGGAGAGAAAGGGTGTCATTCGGACTGGCAGATGACAAAGCAGTTGTGAGTATATCTGAAATTTTTAAAAACTCATAAGTTCCCACCGTTTGGGTATTTACCCAGTAACAAGGATTAGCCTTCAACTTTATGACCAACAGGCCGTATGTAATGCTTTGCAACAGGGCGTTGGTGGCGTGCGCCTGTAATCCAGCTAACAAACTGATTCAGCCGATGACGCAAGTTCGAAGCTGAGTCATGTAGGTTCGAAACTGAGTCACGTCTTTCGGACGGAGACGTTAAAGGTCTGTCTGCAGACGTAAATAATCATATCTGATTGATACACGTCTTTAAAAACCCAAATACACACACACACACACACACACACACCCACCACTACAGGGAAATGGCGTCAACCGTGGACCAAGTTTAGTACTTGTGTGTGTGCGCGTAGGTAATCACCAGCAACCGCGGACCACTCCATAGAAAACTACATCAAACCGCGGACGTACCTCCTATGGGATGATTCAGGTAGCGAGCGCCTCTCTCGCGCAGTCAAAAGGGGGCGCTGTGACATTTCGCGATACACATCGGACTGATCCAGTCGATGTTGCCTACACGCTGTGACATCTAATATTCAAACGCCCCCTACGTCGTAAATTTGATACGGCGGAACCGGTATCGCAACCGTGGACGGTCCCCCATTGCAGGTACGTCCGCGGTTTGAGGTAGTTTTCTATGGAGTGGTCCGCGGTTGCTGGCGTTTTCCTACGCGCGCACACACACCCATCTATCCCCATATGGTAAAGTCATTATCTCACTTTTCCCTCACCCGAAGACTCTCCCAAGAGACGAGGGGGGTATTTCTTGATAGGCCTACAGGGTTGCTGTGTGCAGACTTGTACACCCATTTATGGTTTTCACCAAGTCTGGTGTCAGCGAATTATGGCCTTCTGCACATGGAAATTGACAATGCACAATGTAGGACCCTGTGTCTCCTACATAAGATCTAGATCCCTGAGATATTATATGAGACATTAAAATGATTAATTAAAGACGTTAAAGGAAAATATGATTTGATATTAAGGCTGTTTGGAAATTAAGTAGGACTATTAAACTTCATGCATACCAAATGTTATTTGGGTGCTTCATTTCACCTACTTTAGTTTTTGTTTGGTAGGAGATATTGATTATTGAAGTGATCATTGTAAAATGATATTTCCAAGTTTAGATCTGGGCCCCGTCTTATAAAGAGTTGATATCAATCTCAACTTTGTACATGTAAGAGACAGAGGACTGGAAACTTGCGATTGAATACAGGTTGAAGTGATAATTGTAAAATGATATTTTTCATACCTTGAGATCTGGGCCCCGTCTTATAAAGAGTTGATATCAATCTCAACTTTGTACATGTAAGAGACAGGGGACTGGAAGCTTGCGATTGAATACAGGACTTGCGATTGATTTGGATCCTCTATTCACTTTCTTGTCATTTATCTCATTTTTCAGAGACAATGGGAGATGAAGAATCGTGAGCAAGGAACGGCCATCTTGAAATCTTACGATACCTACAAGAAGCTGAGAGAAAGAGAGTTGAAGCACGAGGAAGCAGGCAAAGAAAGGGTAAGTTTAGGGTTCTTCGTAAAACCAGAGATCCTTGCCTCTAAAGTTAAATGTTGATTGCCAACCTATGGGTATCTATGAGGACTTCATTCTGCTTTCTAATCCATTTCTTTAAAAAGTTAAGAAAGAATTTTTTGTTAGGACGTATCCTGACTAACCTTCATATAACTTTACACCTATTGCATTTGATTAAACTTCAGACGTACCGGAATATGTTCGGCACGTCAGCACAGAAGTGCAATTTTACAACAAGTTCTGAGGACAACAGTGCTAATAATAATAATAATAATAATATTTCTTGTTTACCCAGGGTAGCCTCATCAGTATTTATACTGTTCTCCCTGAGGGCCCTGCAATCATATTGTGCTCAGCCATGCTCAGCCATTTATGACCCTTAAAATCCCATAACTTTAAAAAGTTTGACAATTTTATTAATGGTGAATGAGACATCAGGGGGGTGTTTCACAAAGATCCCAAGTCAAACTTAACTCTAATTTGGACTTAGATATTATGGAGAGCCATTTGTAGCCTTAAAATAAAATATATTCAAAAGCGAAAATTGAAGTATTTTAGACTTTTTATAAATTCCACATCAAGAACATGAAATCTCCTTGATAATAGAAAATATGAATGATTTCAATCAACATTTTATGCCTTTCAAAATAACTTTGACAAATATTTTCATAGATGCTATCGGCTCTCCATAATTTTTAAGTCCAAATTAGGATCTTTGTGAAACACCCCCCTGGCTGGACTTTTTAAAAAAGGAACCCAAAAATGGGCCAGTTATTGAACTGATTAATTTAAAAGAGGGCAGTATACAGGTTATTTCAATTTTATACTTTGAATTTTTTTCTCTTCCTTTTCCCAGCTTGTTGATGACAAGATTCCCACGATGACACAGAGCAAAAAGAGGAAGCTGGAGAGCAAGATGGAGATGAAGGACCTCTTCAAGAAAGACGTGGGATCAGACGACGAGGAAGACCTCTTCAAGAGGGTGGAGCGCAAACAGAAGAGGTTGGAGGAACGTCCCAAGAAGAAGGGAAAGTACCGTGACGACGATGAAGACGATGATGATGACGATGATGATCTGGAAGACTTGGATGAAGATGACTTTGCTGATTTAAGCGATGATGATGATGATGAAGATGAAGCCGACGAAGCAGACCAGTCATTGACGAAAGTCCCCTTGAAGAAGTCGTCCAAGAAAGCATCTAAACCAAGTCAGAGGAAAGAGGACACTTGGGAGGAGAAAGACGACCAAGACGATGTCGTGGAGGACTTTGCGATGTGGTCAGATGAAGACGGCGAGGAAGGGAGTGGAAAGACAACATCAAGTAAAAAGACTTCTAAAACCTCAAAGAGCAAGCCTACAGGACGCCAAAACCAGAAAAAATCCCCCAAGTTGCAAAAGAAGAACAAGAAGAAACTGAACCAGAAGAGCTAGAGGCAGTGTCGATGTGCCTTTGATAAACTTTTATCCAATTGTCTCTTTGAATAAATTTATATCCATTCTTTTACTTCTTTATATTTATTGAAAAAGAGAAGCATCTTTTATTGCACAAATACCTGAATTGTAAAGAATTCCCTACAAGAACCCAAGAGAATGTGGCTTTAAGGTCTAATCAAACAAATGCCATGGTTTATAGTTCCCACCCTCTATTCTTATATCAGTATATCTTCTCCCAAATGTCAAATTGGACTATTTGAAATAAAAAAGAATAGACTTGGAGAACATTATATAGTAATAGTAGTATTTCCTAATTTTCATATATCACATTCTTTGAATAGGGCACATATACATGTAAACATTTCAAATTCTGCGACTGTCTTCAAATTATGTTCTTCTAAAAAATAAAAATAAAAAAGTTAAGATAATCCTAAAGCATCATTCCTATAAAGCATCGTAAACTGTCTATAAAAAACAACACCACAGCGAATCGAAATGTTATTAGGGTTGTTAGCCTCACGTTCTATATCTTAAAAATAAACAGGTACGTGAGTATGCATAGGGCCTTTTTAAAATTTATTAATCCTTCCTTCTTTTTTGCACTTCCACTTCGCATTCATTAACATTTGGAGAAAAAAGCTGTGGTTTATCATGTCATGTATAAATGAGCTTGAAGGAAGTATTCCTTCAACAAATGATGAAAATGAGAGAATTTTTTGAAAAAATAAGACTTTCTATTAAAGAATACTTTTTAAATGAATGTTTTTATATGCATTACATTAAGATGTAAAGGGGGAACAAATAAAGGAAAAGGTATGTTTATCTTTGCCTAAATAATATAGTTAAAAGTCAAGCTTGTTTTGCTTTTTTATTTCTTTTGTTTCCCACATTGTAAATCACAGTTCCTAGCCATCTTGAAAATGGGGCAAAAGTTGGGAAATGAGTTTCCCTTTTATCCAGTCAGGGACTAGTTTGGCAATTTGAGAAGAAAGCACTCAAATCTGGAGAAACAACAAGGAAATTTGTTGGCTGCTCACAAGAAGGCAGACAACACACAGCTCTGACAATCTTTTTGTGAGCAGCCAACAATTTTATTGGCCCTAAACAAAAGAATGGAAGAGGTCAGTCTTGTACTTTGCGTTAGGTCTAGATGGAGACGTTTCATACTGGAAATGGGTCAAAATAAATTTGTCTGGACGTTTAAACTTCATCAGTGGAAAAAAAGCGGAAAAATCTGGGATTTTTTTCTTCATGAAAATGCTGGGTACCTAATTTGGTATTTGCAGGCGTTACATACATGCATGGACTTATAGGTTAGGAGTGGAAGAATAAATTACACATACAGAAAACAAAATGCTCACAACTTCACTATCAAAATAAAATTTATTAAAATGTCCATATGATACAACAGATATTAGCACACTTCATATGACCAAGAACAGATTATAGTTCTTTGTTGATGCATATTTTCAATATCAAAATATTAATAAAATTTGGAAGTTATAGGAGGCACTTGTATCATTTGCATGTTTCATATATACTGTATATACATATATAGACTACAAGTTTACAATTGAAAATAACTCAAATATTCAGCAAGCTGCAACAAAATTGAAAGCAATTGAAAGAGGAAAACCTTATCAAGTATTTAACAATAAATAGAATGTACAAATATACATACTTACACTTCCAAAATAATAGAATGAGAAAAATATCGTAAATCTACCCAGCTGTTCACATAAGAAATTGCTTCTTCTGACATAAATGCAAAATTTGATATTATATTTACATATGTACTTTGAAATATCATGACTTGATAAAAGAAACAATATATATCAAATGTCTAAATTGCCAAAATTTCAATTTCCCGGAACTTAGACTTACACAATTCAAATGGACATTGTAGGTAATGCTGGGAATGGGGACAAGTATAAATTCATGTACATGTACATGTATCTTACAGATATCCCATCAAACTTTATGGCATCGGAATTTTTGTATTTTTTCATAGCATACAGATGGCAACAAAATGGAAGATGTATCAACGATATGCATAGGTTTTGTGATCGACAATTTAAGTTACAAATCTTAAATATAAAATCCTGAGAAAGCAATGTGTAGTTTTACAGGGAGAGAGCCAGCCACAGAATAGCCTTCAAGCTAATGTAGTTAGCAAACACATTCAAAGATAAACAAATTTGAAAAAATACAATTCACATCTGTGGAAAGAATGAACATACCGGTACTACAGAATAAATTCTGTGAAAGTACTACTTCTCTGTCCTACTTTTAAAAAACTGTGGAGAGCCATTTGTAGTCTTAAAATAAAATATATTCAAGATCGAAAATTCAAGTATTTTAGACTTTTTATAAATTCCACATCAAGAACATGAAATTTTCTTGATAATAGAAAATATGAATGATTTGAATCAACATTTTATGCCTTTTAAAATAACTTTTACAAAATATTTTCATAGTTGCTAAATGTCTTTCCATAAATGTTAAGTCAAACTTAGGATCTTTGTGAAACACTCCCCTGAAGTTATGTAGAGTTCATTTTGATCGCCATGAATAAGGAGTTATGAAGTAGTGATATTGCAGTACCAGCTGTCGATTTGATCAGACCTCTTATTCCATCTGAAAGACTCATCCTCAAAATTACTCAAAATATATTCTTTGCGAGTTGGCCAGTTTAGTAAAAATTATAAATATCGTCTTATATTCATCCTTTTTTAATGTAACATTTCCAAGTACACACGCTCCCCCCCCCAAAAAAAAGGCCACAACCGATAAAATTGCATAAATTATTCAGAGGCACAGGCAAAAGCAGTCACATACTGGTAGTCAATAATAGGTAAAGGCACCTCCTAAGTGCTAATCATCCTCTGTAAACACCTCACTAGCTGGTTTTGTACTAGCTGTCCCGGGCGTCGATGGGCCGGGCGGGGCAGGGGTACCTGTAGATTCCTGAGGTGTCAACGATGGTGGTGGTAGCTGGGGTGTGTGAGAAGTAGGAGGGGGAGGTGCAATGGTATTGCAGTACTGACCGTCCAGCGTGAAGCCAAGGCGTCGGGCAACGTGGAGCCTGATCTTGAGGGCAGGGCCCAGCTTGAGACCCATGTTGTGAAGAAGGTGATCTTCTGTAAGTACGGGGAGGATCTCACCATCGATGGCCTGCTCACGAAATACCTACCATAGAAAAACGAAATGGTAAGTTTTCAACATATTAAAAAAATTAGAAATCCAGCTAAGATCTGCATGCTTCAGAGTTTTATACAACTAACTAAATGAACTGAAGAATTCAGAATTATCTAAGCGATCCCAGATGTCTCAGGAAAATGAAATAAATGGCACTTAAAATTCTTGATTTGGAGGTGGGTGTATGTTATACGATGTTTATGTAAAATCAATGGCATTGAAGGAGTCCAACCATTGAGGACACAATGGCATCATGGGGGGGGGGGGGGGGGGCACCTGTCTCGGAAAATGATAAGCTCATAGAACAAGGCCTCTGAGAGGGAGGGAGGGAGGGTGTGCAGGGAGGGGGTCTTAATTAAAACCTTCTCATTTTGTCCTTTTTCTATTTCTCTCTTTTATTTCCTCTTGCTATTTTCTCCTTCTCTATTTTTGGGTTTCCGTTCGAATGGGGGGGGGGGGGCATGCGCCTCCCTGTATCTATGGCACTGTTAAATAAGTATGCATGCTGTACTTTTTTCCTGAAATATTGAGGGTATTTGCAGTCTTGTGCCTTGCTTCTTCACGAATCATACCTCAAATGCAAATAACAAGGCCTTTGAGCGAGGGGTTATAAACATCTTTTCTTGGCCTTTCCCCCTCTCCCTTTTATTTTCTCTCATTTTCTTTTCTTGCCCTTTTTCTTTCAAATTGGGGAGGGGGCACATTCCCCTCCTTTGCTACATCACTGATTCACATTCATACTTACTGGACAGTAGTCTTCACACCCCTTCAGTGACTGCACAAAGTGGGAAACATCGGAGATGGACCATGAAGTTAAATCTGCCGGGAGAAAGACTGCATCAGTGTTGCCAATTGAAGAAAGAAGTGGAGTATGCGATCTGCCTTCTTCACCTTAAGCGGGGGAGAGAGACACAAGCACTTGGATATAGGGTTCAATAATTTAAAATTATCATGCCAGTCAAAAGTATCTGGATATAGAAAATGCTTTTCTTCAATCCTGTATGTTTATCATACTGTCTGTCATCATCATTATATTCTTTTTAAGAAGAAAAAAAACAACCATCTGAAGCAATGGCAAAACTTGGGTATCTCTGTATGTTGTTGATCTCCCTGAGATTTATTGCTCTAAAAGATAACAGTAAAATGCCTCATTTTTTTGGTAATGCAAGCTCATCTAGAACCTCCCAATTGAAACATGTATGTTGTTGGTTTTTGCTTTTGTTTTTTCTTTGTTTGCTTTGTTTTGTTTATGCTATCTTCATAAGATGAAAACATACTTTATAGAATTTACAATAAATAACCTGGAAGGAGCATTTGCCTATCGAGTAATCACGTCTTTTATATCGATAAGCCCTTTAGAGAAATTAATTTTTTTCCTCTTGTTACGAAAATAGCATGAAATGGGTAATAATAGCATACCTCCCTCCCCCCTCCCCCTCACATTTTAGATTATTTTTAATATGAAGTGAGCGTTAATTTTTCTGTAATTTTCATTATCTAATCATTATAAATAAAATTTATTCACTTTTAATATTCTTCAGGATAGCTTTAGATATTAAAACACATCAAAGAGTGATATCTACATGAGATGGTAACATACCGCTTAAAAAACATAAGCTGAGTATTTCGGTGCAAAAATGTCGCCAGCAATAATACCTTTATAAAACTTCAAAACCTATTTTTAACAAAGGTCCCCCAATCTTTGAGTAGTTAATTGTGGTTGGGGGAGGGGCGTGGTATGGTAGTTTTTTTGTTTTTTTTTGTCGTTCGTTTTGTTGCTTTTGATTATTTCATTGTCGGTCATTTTTTTGTGTGTGTGTGATTGTTTGTTTGTCTTTTGTTCATTTGCTTATTTGTTTGTTTTACCTGTATTGGAGCTGCTATGCGTGCTACTCGGTCTACTGCTGTATCCACTGCTAGACGAGGGAACGATCTCGGGACGGGTTAGCTCGATCATCTTCAACGGCGTGCCCGGAGCTCGCTGTGACGGTCCTCGCGTTACCGGTGTCAGTGTGGAGGAGTGCGTTCTTCGCGAACCACCGTTTGTCGAGAGATTAAGCTCCCCGGAGCTGCCCGTGGCGTGATGGTTAGTAGACGAGTTGGTTGTGCTGCGATGATTGTAGACGGGCGTCGATTGATATCTATAAGGGGAAACAGAGTGGATAACGTATACTCGGATTCACTTTTCATATAGTTCTGTTTTCACAAAAATACAATGGTATAAAGAGATAGGGAAAAGTTGGCAAAAATGAACTTTAAAAGAAAAATGGATTCATGTTATTGAATCTCAAGGTGTTTAATGTGTTTGTGTCGCTATAATTTACACAAAGAACATTTGTACAACAATTCAATTGGCTGATGCTTCATAATAACAGCGAAGAAATACGTAATTTACCTTACAAAACACAATAAACAACATGCGAAATTCTCAGATACCACACACACGTTTAAAAAAAACTGCTTCTATGAAACAATGTTACATTACCTTGGTCGAACTGCAGCGTTGGCTTTATATTGTTGACCGGAATAATTTGACAGAACGATGTGAGCTGACCGCTGTGGATGGGCCTGCAACAGAACATCAACAATGTATACGATTACAAGTGAAGCAAGTGTGCTTGGTGGAATTATTCTTGTGAAGAGGTTTTTTACCCTCCCTAATCGGCAAAGTAGTTGCAATAATTATTACATCCCACTACCTTCATGACTTTATTAAACATTTTCATTCGGTGATAGCAACGCAAAGAGAATAGACATATTTTTTCGAAGAAAGAAATATTCCTTGTGTTTAGAGTTAATAACAGCTTTCAATAATACAGTTAAACAGGTAAACATGATTTCGGGCTTTAAGATGGGATGCATTTATTTGTCTCTTGCTAACACAAAAGAAATTTGTATTGGTTGCAGTTAAAAAAACACATAAATGCGTAACATAATTGAGACATATTTACAAATGGAAACTAAGAAAAGTATATTTCAAGGTATCTATTGGAAACGTAGTGCTCATAATGATTACAACCATCGATACTATTAAGCTTTTCTTATTAATTTCCTCGTCTATTATGTTACTTTAAGCTTTTACTAATGTGTCGGCACGCCCTTTTTTAGGTGGAACCCGCACCAACCTCGTCTCCATGGTTCCCGACATCCAGATGCTGCGGTGCGGTCTGTTTACGGGATTTCGTCTGGTGTTTCACCATCATCTGCGGCGGTTGCGAAATCAGCAACCTCGTCGGCGAGACGTTCTCAGCGCTCTGCGGCGAAGCGGATGAGTTACGGCTGAGATCTGCGGGCCCCGCTCCGTTCGTTACCGGGGTGGTGTTGTTGCTGTTTACCGATGCGGCGACCATTACGGTTGGCGCGTTGCGTCCGGTGCCATGACTACCGTAGAAAGAGTGATGCGATCCGGTGCTGGGTGAGTTACGGTCTCCGCTTGATGGGGAGTTGGAGCGGCTTGAGCTCATGTTGAGTGAACGACGAAGGTTTTCTGTGATAAAGAAAATAATCACGTTCGTCCGTTAATGGGCTCGGTGAGATTTACAACTAAAGGTAGTGATGGAAAATATGAAAATGTTGCCTTCTTCTTTTTCGTCTTCTCTTTCCCCCTTTTTTTAAACAAAAGTTCACTCATCATAGTTACGAAGATGATTATTCCCAAGAAACATGTATTCCTTATAAGAAAATTTAGAAGAATATTCTATACAAACACGAATCATTAATATAACAATACTTTCGTTTCATTATCAGCATTCTCTGAGGTTGTTTTGACGGGTCCTTGTTTACACACAATTATACAACTTTCAAGTTGGTACCTTCACACGACTAGGTAAACAATACTCATTCTAGGAACAACATGCTCCTTTTAAAACATAACTTTAAACGCACCTATGTTTTGAGGCTCCGGCGAGTTCGCGGCCTCAAAAATCTTCCGTTGCTGCTCGTCATAGATATCATCGTCCCTTGGCGAGACACTCCGTGGTCGCTTGACTAGGGCAAGTCCACACTGCATCGACGACGACGGGCTTGACCCCGTAGGACTCACGTTGTCCACCCCTAGAGATCGTTTACGACCGTTGTCGTAGACGTGGTGATTGCCGTTGGAGTAGCCGTTGCTGTTGCTGTGTTGAAGCTGGTCGATGATTTCGTTGAGGTGACCACCCTCACCGTCTGGTCTAAAAATCGAAAAAGACCAAATGATACCAATATTATTTATGTCCATAATCTTGCAGACAATTGCATGGAATGTAACTTTATAGGTCTACTTTAAGCCAATCAGAATCGTTAGAACATTCGTTCGTTTGATTGATTGATTATTTATTTTAGACGGGTTCGGAGTTTGATCGTAACCCCAGGTACAGTGGTTCCTACGTATCCACCCCCCCCCCTTACTTGAAGGCTAAGGTCTAAGAATCAAAGCATATTCTAATGGAGCTACAGCACGAGCGACTGCGTTAAGATACGTTACCCCCCCCCCCCCACCATATGGATACTTCCCATGCGGTCACTTTTCTTAAATTATATATATATATTGTGGAAGAGTTTTGTAAACGATTGTCTTTTCATTGCGATAGGGTCATATTGGGTAGTTGAAGGGGGTTTAATGGCAAATAACCATTCAAAAAGATTATCTTATTTGCAAACAACGTTAACAATAGCTGTATTTTGCTGTTTGACAGAGTTAAAACATTGTATTTTTGAACAGTCACTTTTGGCAGGGGGTTAATATAGTCTGTATTTAATAGTTGCTGCTACATCAGACAAACATCCGACACATCTAAATCATCAAGGCCACTTTCTGTATGACACTGTCATCCTACATTCATAACGAAAAATGACTTATTAATCATAATTTTTCTTTATCACGTCCATAAAATTCCACGTAGTTGAGTATAATGTGATTGAACAATCACATCATGATCTCATTGTCATCATTATTGAAGGCGGAAATAACCGCCTTTCAACCAAACACTCAATAAATGTCATCTAAATTGATTTCATCTGGTAAGTGTCTCTAGAAACTGCTATTCTATTGCACCCCATCACGCAGCCTTCGCCCCTTCCCTTACATCCTGCCATACTGTAAAGAAAGAGAAGTGAGACCCTTTTATCATTTTCCATGACGGTAATGGGCATTTCCGTTTGAGCTGATTTATACAGGAATTGATAATTTCAGATGACTCCAACAAGAGAGAGATGGGAACGTTTACCAATCAAGAAACCGTGATCAACCGTGCACAGCGTGAAACATACGTTTGATTATAACTAAGGAGTTGCATATATTTGCGATTTGTCGGGAAGCAATATGGGACTTCCTTTCATGATCATTGCGGGTTCTAAACTAAATTATCTTGAACCAAAACATGCTATAGTATATGTAGCTCAAGTCAATAGTAAAAAAAAGTAGATGCTAAATTCGCAGTAGTGATAGCAATGTGTTTTAAAAGTTGTGAAACTTATTATCACAAAATTTTGTCAAACAGCATCGTAGATTAATGTACAACATATAAATATTAAAAGCAACATCAATCGAAAAAGAGGTCGCTCTTAGTATTTGGAAGTAGATGTACTTGCAAGTAGAAGCAGAAGCAGAATTAGAAGATGAGATAAAAAATAAAAAATAAAAGAATTGCAATAGGAAAGTAGAGGTGAAACAAAAAAGTAGAAGTAGAAGAAGTAGAAGGAGAAGTAGTAAATTTAAAGTTGTAATAGCATCCATAGTAAGTGGCTGGCTAAAAAAAAAAAAAAAAAAAGATGGGGGGGGGGGGGGGGGAATCGATCGATTAAGTTAAGTTAATGAGTCAGTTTTATGTATCACTTACCGTCTTCACTGGAGAGTAGCAAATGTAAATAATTGTCAAATGACATTAGTACCGGGCTGGGATTCAAACCCTCAACCCATGGACTGAGAGTCAAGTGAATGAAACATGATATCACGACACCTCCATGGTAAATTAGTTATATCGAGTATCTAACGTCAGCCACCCCCCCCTCCCCTAAAAAAAATGTATCGTACGTACCCCGTTGTGCGTCGAAGTCTCGATCTATCAACCAACGCTAACGATCCGTTCGAATTGGTCGTTGACGTCGACACTGCGCTTCGTCGATCAGCAGTTCGTAGTCCTTTCTGAAAGAGGATTATTTAGCAGTAATTGATAAATGACAAGTTTTTGATCAAGTGAACATGTTTAGAGAACCTTGTCCAAGATTTCAAATGCACTCTGGCGTGCAGATTCACCCTTTTCAACAACAATCTACAAAGGTCGTGACATAAATGAGCTACACATACGTTTGATGCATGATGGAACATTATGTAAATCGTCGCATTGTGTGGCAAAACGACAGAGTACACTTTGACAACTTTTAAAAAGATTAATCTACGTGCATCAAAGAAAAGGAAGCGCATGGGACACATGCCCCCCCCCCCTCCCTCCCCATCGAATGTTTAAAAAAAAAGGGGGAAAGCTAGAGAATGAGGGAAGAAGAGGGAAAGGGAGAGAAGAGGGAAATGATAGGAAAGCAGGGAAAATAAGATGAACCAACCCCTTCCACATCCCCCCAATCGACAGCCTTACCGACATCTGAAAACGACGAGACGCCAGCTGTCAGACATTCATGGACATGATGTATTATCATCATTCTGTGTATTTGAAATGATTACCAAACAATCTCGGTATCAATAACATTGGAAGGTCAAGGAATGACATACACATTCGTGGTATGTAGGATCTCACGATAGAAACTGCAAGTAATTAAAGGTTAATTTTACGTCAATTCGAGGTAGACTGTTTGTTATAATTATCTCCAAGTGTTGTGAAGATCCGTACATTTCGTTAGCAGTCGCTCTTGAGCATATGTTTATTTGAATTTAGATCAAGCAACAAAATAAAAGTGTATCGACTTATTTCCGATGAGTGTCGAAAGTCTTCGAAATCGTGTTGTTTTTCAAAGTGAAAATGGCAAAAAGGCTTGTTGCAAACCAACTACATACACCGGACGAACACATGAAAATGCTGACATTCGTATATCAAGAACAAAATATGACGCAGAATTAGATTTCATTTCTGGTTAACAAAAGTATGTGGGGTATATGGATTACAACAAAAAAACAATAGGGAAAACATTACTGTGTGGTGATGTGTAAACTGCAGGTACTAATGAAGATAAACAAAAAACCAATAAAACAGTTGTAAGTGATTGGACTTATATTTCATCCATGTGATCAAGGAGATATTCCCAACAAACACGCACATACACACACGCACACACACAATTGTACGCAAACCACCTCCACACACATGCACGCTCCCGTTAAAAGGGCATTAAAACTAAGCAACTAAAACAGATGAAAATGAGAAATACGAAAGAAAATGAGAAACTCTGCAAAGAATGCCACAGGGGCATCCTTTTCCTCGTAATATTGTGTCTCGATCTTACAGATACATGCATTTCGTAATGCGATTTTGAAGAAGAACATTAGAATGTACTACATGAATGTGAACAAACGATGGCGTGCATGCATGAATGACTCAAAAGAGTGTGCCTTGGTGTTCTTTCTTACCAAAACCATCCTCAATAAATCGCTGACTGCGCTACAATCGTGGATGTTGCCGCAGACAAGAAAGCGCCGAGATGGTTTTCAATTTCCAAGACAGTTATTTGTGTCGAAAAGGATCCCTACATTAACGAGTTTCGTTGCAGGTACAGACTGAAATTCATTATCTCTAGAAAATGATTGGCAATGAAGTAAGACAAGACAAAGACTCCAAAATGGCGTCAGAATAAGTTGTGATATGATGTCAGTCAGTACTGGATATACAGGTCGCTGCTTTCCCCCAGGTCATGCAATGCTCATCCTGGCGCCAAAAAAACTATGTCCACTTTTTCTCTTTCCTCCTACATCGCACTATGTTATTACGCAAACCACTTGTTTCTCATCACAAAGAAGACCGCGTCCAATCACTCATTCCTGTACAGGAACCCGCGTCAAAATGTATTTACAATTCATCCTGTGCAAATGCAACAAGGCTTTCGATAATTTACTTCAAATTAGACGGATTTTCCTCCCCAGTTGTAGGGAGAAGAAAACCCCGAGTTGGACTGCCCTACCCCGACGATTTCCTTCCTGAACGTTCTTCCGCTCGCATATTCACTTACAGATGGCCGCGGCTCAGCAGGAAATCCCCGGGAGAGTTGCGGGGAGAGGATGTGAGACTCTATCGCCATTTTTCCCTCTCACTCTCTCTTTCCCTCTCTGTCTCTCTTCTCTTTTATGAACGGGGCGATGATAATGTTGATGATGGGGATGTTTGTGGGTGATAGCCTGGAAATAAAGGGAAAAGGGGGCTATCGGGGGTCTAGGGCTCAGTGAATCTTTAGAGATGATTTAGCGGAGCGGTAGTGTACACAGGAACACGGGATGAGCTGAGCTTGGGGACGGATAACCTCGTGATAGGGGGCCTCCTTCCTTTCAAGGGAGGCTCATAGATTAAAATGACTGCATCGGATCGTTGATTACAATCTCATCAAGTCAACACAGATAGGTTGCGTCATAGAATGTGTATCATGAGGACTATGGGCTGTCATATGATGTACAATCATACTAAGTACTTGTACCTGCACAGACCATGTCTGAGTCTGACTTAATTTTAAATGACCTAGCGCAGTCAATATAAATTTAGAGCATTGCTTTTTCTTTAAATGATTTTTTTTTCTTCCAGGATAAATGCTGAAATCTACCATTTAAAAAAAATTGTAAATCGGCTATAATCTATAAACAGTCAAATGAAGGTGCTATCGTCATTTTACACGTCTACCACACTTAATTAGCGTGTTGCACTTCCTTGACTTTTCTAATTCCTTGTTCCTTGTTTGATTGTTGATGTTTTTAATTAGACGCTTCCTCGTATCAGTGTAATTGATCATGCTTTTGTTGGACAGTTGGTATATAGAAAGTATAAAGTATAATGTGACGGTCGTATACTGCAGCAAAGCAGATTGAGAAACGTTTATTTCTCTCGTTTGGGGAGAGATAAAGAAAGGGAGACAGAGAAAGAGAGACAGACAGAGAGATAGTGATATAAACAGTCAGACTACAACCAACACTCAACGGATCCAGGTCTTTACTTTCACTTTTGTTGTTAACTTTTAAGGATGTGTACGAGTGCTAGATGGCGGCTTGCGAAGCACGTCATCATCAATCACAAATACTAAAGAGTAGTATGTCCGAGAGCCGCGCCAACAATCCTGAAATGCTTGTCATTTAAGTTTTGACGCTGGGTAACAACCTGACTGCCAATGAAAGCTGGCGCTCTTTGATATTGGCAGTTGTGACATATTCAGAATTACTCTCTAATATCGTCCTAGCAGTTATTATTCAATATCTTTGAGATCAAATCGTAGAATTCAGAAACCATGCAGGCGCTTATGAACAATTCACAGCAACGCAACGTACAGGCATTTGATTTTATCGACAGAGATCTTTATAGAATGTCCTTTAGAGTCTACTTCTCTTGAAAAACTATGCATTGTGTTTTCCAAAGCAGCTCAAATTATTCGTATCAAATCTTGTATTAAAAAAATATTTTATTTACAATGTATGTACGATTTAAAAAGGGATAAGAATTTGAAACAAAAACAAGATGCACACCAGCAGTAAATAAATGTCCAAATATCCACACAGGAAGGAAATTAGACTTCAAAATTATATATATATATATATATATTTTTAAAGGAAGTAATTGTTACAAAAGCGACTTTCGAACTAAGCTTACACGTCCAACGGCCTATACACGTTGTATTGGGAAATGCAATTATTGGTATAGTCGCTTCTTAACATATGTAAATGTACACATGGACTTGTTAATTGTAACATCCTGGCTGGTCTTCGTCTATACATGGCATTCTATGACCGATGACCCAAACCGGATGTCGTGAGGTTTCCGCTAGTCGGCGCTATGGATTGTGGCCTCTCGCACCACAACGTCTCTCGCACGTTAATAGAGTCTTGTTTCCGTTCTGGCGCTGCGCTGTTTCCTGCCATTTTAAATGTTTTTCCCAATCGCTTCACCGGCCATCATTTCCGCTTGTTTTGCGATAAATGTCCGTTTAGAACCAACGTCATTTGCATATTGCACTGATTCCACTGAATAACATATTTGTGATTTCCTTGTATTCTTTATAGCCTATGTAAATGCCCCGTTACAATTTCTTGAAATTTGATTACTGTTCATAAAATAATTGGACTTATCGAAAGTATAAAGTTCGAAACAGGGAGATGAATGCACGGAATCGTACCTAGGCCTATGATACTACAATCATTTATGCATTTCCTCTACGTTCTCAACGTAAGGTACAAAGGTGCATTTTTATCGTGCTTTTTTGGCTTGACCTTTATTCGAAAAAAACAACGAAAGCGCTTCATGTATATGAATAAAGGGCATCATTAACAAGGGGCATATCTCTAATAGAGCTCGAGATTACCCCCCTATACAAATATATATATATAATTATAAACACTTTAAAAAAGAATGTTAAACAAAATAGAAGCGGGTCTTAGTTTTCCCATAATTTTAGCTAGTTGCTAAAAAGGGACAGTTATAATCTCCCAAATAACTCTCCTGACGTCTTCAGCTGTCAAACAATATATAAGTACTTCCAATCATTATCATCATCGATTCATCACATTATTCTCCCTCCACCATTTCGGAGATTAGCGATCCCATGGGCCGCAAAGACATAATTATAACTAAACTGGTCACAGTAAAGTGATCTTCTTAACCCTAATAAGGCCGGGGGGGGGGGCATTATGCCCCCCCCCCTCCACGATATTTCCGATTGCTCGGGAACGCATATGGATGGCGCCCCGCCGCTCGCTGACTTTTTTCTTTCGAGTCTTGCGCAACTTTTAAAATATTTTTTTTGAAAATCGGACCTACGGTAACAAGGTCACGTGACCTTTTGTCTTAGCATGTCAGCCCGAAAATCGCTCATTTTCGTGATTTGTGTAGAAAACATGTGGAAAAGTCATTTTTCCTAAAATCAGATCAAACATGGATTATTGGGTCTTGTTTAAAGTTTAGGTGGTTGTTTTGGGAGTCAAAATAGTTGAATTGTAGTAAGAAATGAAATAAAACAACAAAAACAATGAAATACATAAGTTAAAAAAACAATGAAATACATAAGTTAAAAAAACAATGAAAAACATAAGAAATTATCAAAACAAGGGATAACATAAGGAATAAGCTGGCTCTTCCAAATTGTTTTGTCGTATAAAAAAAAAATGCTTAAATATGAATAAGATATGATTTATGGGTAAAAATGTGATTGTTGTGACTTTATTTGCATAAATAACTATAAATATGCAAATGAGTGAATTTTTCAAAAAATTGAAATTATTATATTATTCTATACACTTCACTTGACATGCGTGCACATTTTCACGGCGATCGGGGGCCATAATGCCCCCCCCCCGGCCGTACTAAGACCTCAAATAGCCCGGCCTTTTTAGGGTTAAACAGCACAAACAAGTTTATGTTTATTTGGCGTATTCTACCCACTTTATACTATCTTCGCATCATGTCCGTGTTATGAAAAAATAATTCAATTTATTCTTCTCCAAATTCTGCATTCATGCTCTATCAAAGATGCTGTTCTTGTTCCCATCGCATGAAATCTAACGTAGATGTAGACTTCATTCGTTTCAAGTTTCTCTTATCCGTACCATTACTCTCATAAACATTAACAAAAGAGGAATTTAGAATAAATTAGATTTAAACCAGGCGCAGAGAGAGTAGTGTCGGAGTACAGTGGGAGGATGAAAACTTGACGTGGAAAGCAAGTCGAATTCCGAAAAACGAGTAGATCAACAAAAAGGCGCAGCTTAACATGTCAACCGCCTGGAGGGCGTTTCACAAAGCCTTTTCTTTAATGGCAAATGACAAAATTCAGTGACAACTCTACTGATAACCAATCAGAAGCAAGGATTTCAGTAGCTTATAAAAACTGTCACTTATCACTGATGACATGTTTTGTGAAACGCCCCCCTCATAATTCCGAAAGCCAACGCCTTAACATCGACAGAAGTTTGATAGGAGGTTCGGATTGGGTCACCAACATATTTTTACGAAAAGCGGAATTCCCCGACACTTTTCCGTGAATTTTGCCCAAATTCAAGAAACAATAAATGAGGAAATTTACGCACACGGGTTGACGATTCGATAATACATGTAGAAGAGCAGAAGTCTTGACCATGACTCAACGTCGACATTCTAACAAAGATAAGTCTTTTCATGTGTTTTTTGATCGGCTGTTACCTGTGTTAATTCAAGCCTGGCAAGGCAAGTAGCCCATAAGCCATTAATTAAAAAACATGATTTTAACTTAATAAGGCAATTACACTGGCCTTGTACGTCACATTTTTACATGTACGAACATTACAAAGATGTATCACGTTTTCGGAACGAGATTTCTAAGTTATGTACAATTCAACGGGGTATTGAATTTGCCCATGCATTCGGTGTTAAAAGTGAACTTCACATGGTGCGTCAATTAAAGGGCACACCAGTCGCTGGCGTAGTCCTGCGTCAGTGAAATGACAATGATACCCTGACTCAGGCGCGTACGCAGGATTTTTTCAAGGGGGGGGTTTTAACATTTATAAATCGGTCCGAAAATTTCGCAACGACTCAGCCAGCCGCTGAATAAGCGGGGGGGGGGGGGGGGGGGGGGGGGGGGGGGGGGGGGGGGGGGGGGGGGGGGGGGGGGTAAGAGGACACATTTTTTTTTTTTGGTCCCAAAAAAATCGCAACGACTCAGCCGACCGCTGAATAAGCGGGGGGGGGTAAGAGGACACTTTTTTTTTTTTTTTTGGTCTCGAAATTTGGAAATTTGACATTTTGCTCCGTTGGGGGGGGTAAGGTCACCTTTTTAGGTCGGCCATGGGAATAATTTTTTTTTTTTTTTTTTTTTAATAATTAAAAAAAAAAAAAAAAAAAAAAATCCAAAAGGGGGGGGGGGGGGGGGGGGGGGGGGGGGGGGGTTTTAGGTTTTTTTAGGGGGGTTTACACACAAAAAATTTCCAAAGGGGGGGGTTTAACCCCAAACCCCCCCTGCGTACGCGCCTGCCCTGACTGATATGCCTTCTCCATTTGCATCGACGTCTTTTCCTCTCCCTTATTCCCCGGTCACATCTACGAGTCTGACAACAGACCAAGTAAGTCTGACAACAGACCAAATTGAAAATTACATGACTACGAAAGTAAAAGATTTTGTGGGTTATTGGTCGATTGGGAGTTGCTTCGGTTGTGTGAACGGGGCAGTACCCCCGTCATAGTATACTTACAGAAGCGAAGTTCAATCGGCAGGTGTCGCACTCACACATGAGTGGGTGTGCCATGAGGAGGCCACGCCCCATCAGAATCTTGAGACTTTTGCCGCGATGTCGGATGCTCCTCTTCCAATCCTTAGCCGTCTCTCGCCCGCTGATAAACTGGAATTCGTTTGGTGTGTACCACCGGTCCTGAAACGAGCCAACGATAGAGAACATCGACGTATATTTATACTACAATGTCGAAGATGTATACTGCAAACCATTAGAGTGGATATCCGAAGGAATGACCAATACCAAAAATGTTCGAACTTTTATGGAAAGTTAAAATCCTAGTACAAGGAAATACATCATCGCTTTTTATACTATATACGTGGAATTAAACAGGAATCAAAACGAAAATGTAATGTCCTTACTATTCAAATTCTCAGTCATTTCCATCCGGGAAGAAAATAGGAAATGTAAAAACGATATTGACTGTACGACACATAAGAAATGTCATTCGAAATCTAAGTAAACTTTTCTCGAAATAAAGGAACTATTTCCCCGAAAATGAATACGTACACCATTTAGACAATTAATCGACCTTTCCAGCTGTAAACGAGACTTAATATAAGCTTTTTCCCAGGGATTGGCCTAGATCTATATTTATCTAGTATACTAACGAGCAATAAGAGTATGGGTGTCTATTAGGATTTTGTTTAATACTTTATTTTCCTTCATTTATTTATCCGTTTCTTTTTGTCTTTTCTTTTCTTTCTTTCTCTTTTTTTAAAGGGGGAATGGGGGGTGATTGGAATATTTTGATCGGGGCATCTGATACCGCCCCCTTCCTAGGTCGACGTCCCCTGCTATAGAACTGCATCTGAGACATATCGTAATGCGAATCGATATCGAGGTTTTTTTTATCTTTGGGAAAGCAAGATCTTGCAAGGACATCTTATAATTGACCATTTTCCAAAAAGACCAGTTTTGGTCTCGAGAACCCTCCGAGTAGTCGTCAGAAAGCTTTTTTGTCGGTCTGACGAACCTTCAGTCGAACGCATCCTCAGATAATTTTTGCAAGGCCTAGCCTGTCTGTCGGTTCCGTCAATCCGTGATGTGTTGGTCTTGTCGGTCTTTGCATGGATCTACCAAAAACGTGATTTCATAGCCTTCTTTTAAATTGAACCTAGAGCCATTTCAACACTCCTGTCCATTATCTTTTGCAAACGCATTATCTCCTAATTTGAACATGATTTCTTTCTATTATTATAAACAATAGGCCTACAGAGGGGTTAGGAAATCGCCCTTCGTGTGATTTCTTGAAAGTCTTTGCGATCGTATTGAAAGTACTTTTGGTGACATTTTGTGACCTACCTCGAAGAGGACACACTGTCCTTTGGAGCCCTGGCAGAGTTTGTTGACGTAGAGTAACGCGCTGTTTGATCCGCAGGCTACTTCCAGTACCACGTTCCCGTTCTGGTCCTGTATGGGGCTAAAGTAGTCGCTCTCCGAGCTCTCACACTGCACGAAAACAAAATATGGAGAGAAACACAGTGAGTATAACTATAGATCTAAGCCTACTTAGTCTAGTCTACTCATTTATCTGCTGATATATATTATAGACTATGATATGATAGGGTAATGTTCTAAACTTGCCTAGGCCTATGTCAGCAAAGAAAAATTATTAGGAGGAAAAGATCCAGGATAACAAGGAAAAGTAAAAACGAAAACAAAACAAATTATTGGTTTGTTTTGTATTTTGTTTTTGAGAATGTTGCTTTTATTTTTTCGGACCTAACAAAGTTAGAATGGCTAACGTTAGATAGGTCTATTTGAGAAGACAAGGTCAACTCCTAATTGAGTCCTAAATTCAGTTCGTAAAATTAAAAATGTAGGACTCCTACCTTTATGTCTTCAGCAGTGTAATAAGCAACAGCAACACCAGAAACATTTTCTTGCACTTCATAATCATTAGCGCTACAAGTAGAAGTAGAACCAGAAGGTTTACTACTAACACTAGCAGCAATAGACGATGTCGATGGGCCCGGCGCACCCGGGCAGGGAGCGGGCACCTGCTGCATTGGCATTCCCATGGGCGAGGGCATTGTCATTGGCATTGCCATAGGCATGCCCAGCGGTATCGGAGCCATCATGTGTCTTCCTCCGGGTCCTTGTTCTGGCATCATCATAAACATGCCCTCCGGCATATGCATCATACCGTTCGGCATCATCATGGAACGATCGTCAAACCTCACCTTACAGCTAAAGTTACATCGGCCGTAACATCTAGAGCAGTCTGTTAATTCTCGTAATATGTTAAGCGTTCAAAATATTCGATTCAGAAAACAAGATCATTGCGCAACGTTTACGCTTAACAAATGCGCCGCGCCCATACGTGCGCCCTTCACGTGCGCGCTTAACTAGGCTGCGCGCATAATTATGTGTAGGAATTTCCGATGCACTTGAGCGCCTATTAATAGTACGCGCTTCTCGTGCTGATGATCATGATCGATGCGATGCATGATTATGATCATGAGTCAGTTAATTATGTAGGACGAGGTTAAGCAGAGGCGTGCATGCCAGGAGGCGGACGCCGCGGTGTCGATCGCTATACTTGTAAATAATTTTAGAACGTACGTGCAGCTGCCAGAGGCGTCCCTCGGGGGGGGGGGGGGGGGGGTAGAGGGGGCACAGTGCACCCCCCCCACTTTTTCACGCATCCGAAAAGTGCCCCTTTTACACTTCTTTTTCTACTTCTACGACGATACACAGCAGGATCCATAAGTCAGGATATAGTGCTGAGGAATAAACTATTTAGTTCTTGGTCTAGATGCTGGGTGGAAGCGCTCCCTTGAAGCCCTCCAGTGAAGTAGCGTCAAGGGTTATCTTCGAAAGTACATAGGAATTAATAGTGCCCCTTTTACTCTGACACGACATGCCCCTATTAATTAGTAAAAGTGCCCCTTCTACTTTTCAACTCTGATAAGTGCCCTTTTATTTGGTAGCGTGCCCCTTTTCCTTCGACAAGTTCCCCCTTTTTTTTGCAATCTATGTCCACTTTCCATTCTTATAAGACTAGTGCCCTTTCTCTGGTAAATGACCCTTTCAGGTACGAGAAGTTACTCCTTTTCACTTCAGATAAGTGCCTCCTTCACCTCCGATAAACCCCCCTTTAAAATTACTTTCTTTCAACTAATGAACATTTTCCTTTATGATAAGTGCCCCTTTTTTATAATTGGTCATTGCCCCTTTTCAGGTGCGATAAGTGCCTCTTTTCACCTCTGATAATTTTCCTTTTAACAATGATACGTGCCTCTTTTCGTTTCTAATAAGGGACGTATTCCCTTTTCATAAATTCCCCTTTTCACCTTTTATAAATGCCCCTATCAAAATCTGATGGTAGACCATTTTCCGTCGACAAATACCGATTTCCTATTCTCATGACTGACTTTTTTTTACCCTGGTGAGTGCCTCTTTTTGAGGGTGTAAGAATTGCCCTTTTTTCACCTCTGAAAATTACTCTTTGTACTTTGACTCATGCTCTCTTCTTTTCTGATAAGTGCCCCCTTTTCCTCTCATCATTAAACGCGCCCCTAATTTCAAGCGGCTAAGAGTAATTTCCCCAAAGATCGCTCGCTACGCTCGCATGCATCTGTAGATCATATACTTCTGTTACCAAATGTCTTTTCATTCTTCCGTTTATACCCCTATCAGGATTGAGTTTTTTCCTCGTTATAAGATGTAATTTTTCGCATTGCGACCTCACAAATCTTAAAATGTTTCCTCGCTCGCTTCGCTCGCTCACAAATAAATTTTCAGAGTAACACACCCAACTGCAAAGCAAGATGCTTAAGCAATATCTTGTATGGTGTATAAAGTGAAGCAAATATTGTAGGCCTAATCACAATATAAGGGTATAATTATATACTCTTAAAAATACGTGGTCGTTTTTAAAGGTGCATGGTTGACTACCAAAACGTGGTCAAAAAATGACCCAGTTGAGTTCATTTTTACCCACGTTTTGGTAGTCAACCATGCACACTCTTAAAAGTACGTGGTCATAAAAATGACCACGTCGTGGTCGTTTTTTTAGATTATCAGATTTTAAGACAATTTGATTATTATTAATAAAAATATTAGTCAATCTGATACATACCATTCCTTCGAACGGGGAATAGCGATCATGATTGAGATCGTCAGACCCAGTTTCTTCGTTCTCTATCGATCCTGAAAAAGTCCCGTTGTCGCCTGTATTGTCTGAACTTCTGCGGCTAGTGACTCGTCCGACATCGCCAACGCCATCATCCGTCTCCCTTTTCTGAACTGGTGGTGTCTTTCCATTTGGAATCAATATCGCTTTCGAGTCTTTCCGGCGGCACTTCTCGTCAACGTCGACGTCCTCTTCGTCATCCTCATCGTCAGCAACGATCTCGACTTTGACTTTCACGGGTTTCACTGTGGTTGATTTCGTCGATGACTGCGTCGCTTGTTTTTCCACATTTCCATTCTTCTTTTCGGTGTCGTTTGATTCTTCAGCACCTGCCATAGTCCAGTTGGTTGACCGGTGACGTAATCTGTGAGTCAGAATCAGATTGGCGATTCACATGCGATATCAAGCTCCAGTCTTCAGAAGGATTACGTCACACGATATAGGTGTTGTTCTTTCCGTTAAAGGATGACTGCTCCCCCTTTTAGGAAAAACAAAAACGAAATTATAAATTTTGCGATAACAACAAGATTTGTTAAAATGTAAATGAAATGAAAAAAATCTAGTGCACATGCAAAAGTGTTAAAGAAGCAAGGCAACGGATTTTGTTTAATACTAGTTTTGTTTGATAATAACCCTGCATGCTGTCGATATGAACAGTGAAGTGTTGACAATATTATTGTAGGCTTTGTAAGAAAATAATGATGATGAAATATTCATCGCGGGCTGTGGTCACACATCATATCAGAATGTTGAAATACTGAAGTTCTCATGCCTCTTAATGCTTGGGAAAATGTAAGCTGATTTGTCCCACTAATATAGGCTATACTTAATTACCATATTTTGATATAAGACATTGAATACACAATGGACCACTATCAACTCACTTTGCAAAATACACAATGGACCACTATCAACTACTTTGCAAAATTAGTTTGTTGAATCCAGAACCATAGGTCCACCGTCCAAACACATTGGACAAGATAATGCTATTATTTGCATGGCGGTCGCGGGAAAGAAGGGAGAGGGGGGGGTACGATTTATTCATCAATAAAGTACATTAGGGCCTTGGTTTATGTCGGCCACGGAATCAGGGGGCGTTTCACAAAACTTGTCATCAGTGACAGTGTTAAATGACAGTTTTTGTTATAAGCTACTGAAATCCTTGCTTCTGATTGGTTATCAGCAGATTTGTCACTGAATTTTGTAATTGAAAAAAGGCTTTGTGAAACAGGCGCCAGGGGCGCATCGTTAAATTGAAAAGGGCTAAAGTTTCGGAAAGACAGAAGCTGAAAGGGCTATACATACACAAAATGGACTTCCATTCCATTAATGTCAATACACATTAATTTTTGCTAAATCTAAACGTGATCACTGTGGAGGGCCATAAACGAGCTGGGGTATAGGCCTTTATTAATACACCATAAACTTGAGATTGCTCTTTCCACTTGAGGCGTTTCTACATTCAATATCTTGATATTTCTTTTTTATATGAAGAAAATTGTTGACACCTGCAAAATCATTTAAGTCAAGAATTATTGGTATATAATTTTCATGAGACTGCCTACCCCCCCCCCCCCCCACCCCCACCCCACCCCGCGGCCCCTAGTAAGCCCAATTGCGCCGATGTCATGGAATATGTTTGCTATTTTCTTTCTCCGTAGCGACATGACTTTATTTTTCGAGCTATTTCTCAAGGTAAACTGCTCCAAACCCACGCCAAAGGAAGTTGCCACAGGAAAGAACGGAAATCGACGGAAATTTGGCCTGACCGATGCTACCGGGTCATGCGCCTCGGAAAAAAAAAGGTATTCTCTTTTTCGATACAAGGAACAAATTTCAGCGAATGAATCGAAGAATGCAATAGAATATAAACGTCGAAACTCGTTGTAGGACTTAATGGAAGTCTGGTTTCAATACATGTTTTTTTGTTTCTGTGGTTTTTAAAAGTTTGTTTGTTTCCTTGCTAGCGTGTCTGAATGCTTGGTTACTTGTTTGCTTGTATTATTGCAGAAACGTCATAAGCACCAACATTTCAATTATTACAGAATTTATATAAAAATATCAAAATATTCGCAATGAAAATGGCAGCCGTATTGCGAAAAAAATAAAATTGCGCTATAACAAAAAAAAAAAAAAAAAAAAAAATTAACCAGGGTGTTATTATAATTAGAAACTAATGAACAGGTTCATTATGAGAGGGAGGATGTCCGAAATAGGCAAAATGTTGTCCTGTTTAATGCCAATAATAATGTAACAAAGTTTCTCCAAACAAATAAACTAAAGGAATAGCCGACAATATCGTATTGAGATAATAAGTGTATATTATGAGACCCCCCCCCCCGAACCACTCCTCTCAACCCCCCTTCTCTCTCTCACTCTCTCTCTCTCGCTCTCTCTATCTCTCGCATTCCCCCTTTCTCTTTCTCTGTTACTCCCCGTCTTCCCAATCTCCCTCTCTCTATACAATATATAAAAGCTAAACATCTACTATACAAAGTTACACAAAATGTCCATATTCTGTCTGGGTAGATCAGACGGTCTAAATGTAATCAGATTCTGTTGTCATAATCATTGAGCATTGTTGCGAGGCACGTGATGAAGACAATGACTTTGTAATCACATGATCATTCGAGTTCTTGTCGGCTTAAAGCAACAGTTATCTTTTTCATTTCCGTTTGTTGACCTTAAAGGAAGCTAAGCGGAAAATCATTTGGCAATATACGACGGTTAATAACGTGAACTTTTGTAAATTATTAAAAGGAGGGATAAAGAAAATGAGATAACACGAGAATAGGGTCGGCTGGAAGCAAGATATAGATATACTTAAATTACAGAGAAAGCCTGTTAAAAACTTATGGGGGAAATGGGATCGAGGGGAAGGGGAAGAGAGAGAGAGAGAGAAAGAAAGATAGAGAGAAAGAGAGATAGAGAGAGGGAGAGAGAGAGAGAGAGAGAGAGAGAGAGAGAATATGTGTGTGTGCAACAAAGACAGACATACTAAGAGATTTTTTCAAGCTTGTTTTTGACCGCGTTACCAGTAAATGAGACAGAGATACAAAAACAAATACAGATAGAAGGTGAACAAGAGGCAATGGAGATGGGGAGATAGAGAGAGGGGTACAGGATGAGGAAAGGGAAATGGGGAGGGGGCACAGACTTGGCCGCCCCGTATAGTCTTAAGTCACAGAGAGATAGAGGGGAGAGAGAAAGAGAGGAGTGTAGAGAGAGAAAGAGAGAGAGAGAGAGAGAGAGAGAGAGAGAGGGGGGGATGGGGGGGGGGGGGGGGGGCAGGAAGAGCCAAAAGACGAGAAATGTAAATGAGGGGAGGGGCTACAGCACACACTTGGCAGCCCCTTGATACAGGGGCAACGAGGGGGGGGGGGGGGATGTATAAACTGGCCGCCCAGTAGAGGCTTGCTTGGGCTCGATAAGGCCATCACAGATAATACCAAGTTTCCGCTAGCTCCGCGACGACTGACGTCATAGAGGCGAGGCTTGTTTCCGCAGAGGGACTACAGCACAACTTCAACCATGGATATAGCTATACCACAAGTAACTTTGAAACAATCGCATAATATAAACCAAACAAAAAAGGTAGATGAAATTCAACACTATTGTTCTTTTCACCTGCAAAAGACAAAACAATACGTCTAGTAAAGCGTTCAAACAGACGATTCTTGTATACTCAAGATATTAAAAACAACTTATTTCAATCTTTACATCTGTCATTGGAAAAGAGTTGTATTACTATGATTGCAAGGTATCCATATTTTTTCCGACAGGTCAGATGTTGGGTATATGATGTTGGTTAGGATCGCTAATAAAATCATTCATGATTAATGAAATCATTTAAAAGAGATGTCCAAAGTAATTCATAAAATGAAATAACATGAATGAAATAGCATGGACCAATGGAAAGAGTTGATAAATGGGAGACTTTAATGTGCCATTTTCGTAAAGTAATCAATTTTAAAGCTTATCTGCCGTAGTTTACAGGAGGGATTAGACCGCCGTGCAAGGTCACTGGACAGGTGGTTATCTCATCAACTCAGCTCTCAGTTAACGTAAGAAAAAGAGGATCATGGGGGACCAATGGTCACCGATTAGGCATTGTGTGTTATATATAGAGGGCGCAAGTAGCTAAAAGTAGTGCTGTGGGCCTTTAATGCACACATCTTTGTTAAGTGCCGCGCTACAAATCAAGTTTCATTCACCTGTAACGAATAATTGTATTTCGATAGTCAGAATGCGAATCAATAAATTACGTGTTGTTAGTTATAAGACAAGCCATAATGCTTGCCCTACTTAGCGACAATTTATGTAAGCAATTCGCATAACATTATTTATAACAGGCGAATGAAATAATTTTGTAACATGACGCTTTGAGTACCCTCTGGGTGGATAATGTCTTTATTATTATTACTTTCGATTACATTAAGTGCAATTCACTCACTTCAAGATTGTTATTGTTTTCAGTTTCTCATGTGTAAATGTGGGGGTAATAATGGGGTGATTTTCAAAACAGTTTTTAGTGAAACATCTGAAGCAACAGAAAGTGTGAATCTAAAAGTGATTTTCGCCTTCTGACATTTACACTGAAAACGTTAGACACCACAACAGGAGGATGTGGAGAAGGGGGTCATGTCTGTTTGGTTTTCCTCCACGAACCGAAACATAGGGGAACAGAGGGAATTCGGGGTTGGGACTTGGGGTTATATGAGTTTAGGTGGGTTGTTGCGGAATATTACGTCTTTCGCGTCTAGACGACTACAATGGCTGTCGTTTTTGTCACCCTCACAAAAAACAATAACAATAAACCAATAACGTTGATTTTTACTAGCTATAATTATGTCTTATCATAACCTTAATGTATCAAACAAGGAGCCCCTGCTAAAGAGCGTAAGCACCGGTAGGCCTATGTGTGGGTAAGTTTGGCAAAAAGGGGGCTGGAATATATTAGAGAGATGCAGAGTGTGGGGGAGAGGGACTGAGAGAGAAGAGACGAGGGATGAAGATAAAGGGAATATCCTCTTGAAGAACTTCTCATTTCGTCTTATTGTCCAGCGAGTGAAAAAAGATGCCCCCTTCTTTGATATCTCCGCCTCATAATAATATATAAGCGCACTTTCGTTGTTTGGTTAGCTACGTTTGATGTCAGATGGTAATACAAGCTATAACTTATAAGAGGTCCAAAATGACGCATTCAATGAAAATATTTTGGCGGCAGAATTTGGTCTTTAAAATGTCATCGCCAGCGATCCGTCTCACATATCCCACGGCAAGTTACGTCAAAAGCCAGCATCACTCAAGATTTAAGTTTTCTCTCCAATCTTGGTTATATTATTTCAGTAACATTATAGGCTACTGTATTAGACCATTGGTGGATTTAGGGGCACAACCGACCCGTGCCCCCTTTCAAACGCAATATTGCATTCCTAAAAGTACACACAAATATTTTTTCTTTTCTGGTTGCTAGCGATTTTTGATAATTACCCCCCCCCCCTTCTCCTCCCCTTCCACTCCCCCTGCTTTATAACACATCCTCGGAATGGTAGGCGAATCAAAGTCTTAATGCAGTGATTGTTGGAAGATCAAAGAGGCCCCTAATAAAGCACAACAATGAACAAATAACACACAAATAATGTTAGACCAGCTGTACTCACGGCACTTTCCCCCGGACAAAATGTTGAAGAGAGAGAGAGAGAGAGAGATAGAGAGAGAGAGAGAGAGAGAGACATATACATTGAGAGAGCGAGAGAGACAGAGAGAGAGAGAGAGAGAGACAGAGAGACAGAGACATAGAGAGAAAGAGAAAGAGAGAGAGAGAGAGAGGGGGGGGGGGGGGAGTGAGGAGAGCGCGAAAAGGGAGAAGAGGACATGAGACATGAGAAGGAGATGCTACGATCATGCAGCTCTCATGCACACCTCATCAGCAAAGGCCTGGTTAACTTGCATTCGATCCATCGAGTAAGACCAGCGCCCCCCCCCACCATGATGGTGATGTCCAGTGGACCCCAGTTTGGATCCACTCTATGCCCTGAAACTAGATGTCGCAGTCGAGTGGTTAAATCACTTGACTGAAAAGGTCATGGGTTCGAACACCGGCGTGAAACTTAATAATGTCCGTCTACTTTCTATATTGCTTCTTTCCACCTAGATGCTAAAAGGGGTTCCCGATAAGATGCGAAAATCATTGCGACTGGAAAGCTTTAGTATGTCTGCATTCGATAGCACTATGAATATTTCTAAATCAACTTTGAGTGAAATCGTGAAGAAAGCAGAATGATGTGCTTTACTTTATCAAAGACTTGGCCATCAATTTTGGTCAGTAGTTACCAAAATCGGAAAGTGAGAGCCTGAGAACCAGTCAAAGGCTAGTTGAAATCAATTCAGACGGGAAGTCCCTGGGATACTTCCCTCTTCTAAGTTAAATCAAAGGACACGGGCGAGGGGCTACAGAGCGGATAAAGCCAAAGCCTCGTAGTACTGAGATCGAGCTGATGACGAGTTCACGACTTCTCGCCCCGCGCTGTTTCCTCTCCTAGTTACCGCCTCTCCGCTCCTAAATTCGCCACGTCCGCCGGCGACGTACGAGCCATTTTGGGATGACTCAGCGGGGCAAGCGTAATACGTGAGGACGGAGGCAGGAAACGAGGGACGGGGAAAGGTAGCAGGGTGTCGAAATGACCGTCCGTGGTATATTTTTAAACCCTCTTACATTAATTTTTAGGCTTCGAGTGTGACGATCCTTTTCTGTTTTAAGCACCTTAACCTATCGTCACAAAGCAGGCAGCGAATGGTGCAAGTACACGTACGTAGTCATCTAACGCAGGTCGTTGTTCAGTATGCAGAAAAGAGACTTCCACTCCACCCCCCCCCCCCCCCCCCCCCACTGCCGCGAACAGATCAGGATTCAAACTTGGGGGTCTAAAGAAATTATTAATCTTGATGTCCCAAACACAAGCTCTTTTTTTGAGGTATTCGCTTCCTACTTTTCAATGATTGCCCAGTAGCTCAATGGATAGGCCTTTATTGCATTCGGCATTGTACCGTATGTTCAAATGTCAGGAGGAAACGCATGTGAAATTTGTAATTTATTTAACAGAAAATCAGAGTGAATAAACACGCTTGAGAATCCCACAAAGCTTCCTAGTAATTTTGCTGAATACGCGTATATAAATTATCAAGCATAAAAGCATGTTACTAAATAGTTACTAATTAAATATATTTTTACACCAGGGCGCGGCTTTGGAATGGGGCTAATAGTTATGAACAACGATAGAGGGGTGCCATGACTTCTGTCTAGTCTTTTTGGGTGGAATTATGGTCGTATATCAGAGATGAAAATGGGAGCGGGCGAAGTGATCGAGCGAGGATGGTATGGTGGCGAAGAGGTGTCTAGTCATCCTCTTTCCCGATACGTTTTCCATGCATCTCACCCGCCCCCTCCCCCTCTCTCTCCCCCTCTCTCTCTCTCTCTCTCTCTCTCTATCTTTCTTACTCTCTCTTTTCATCCTGTTTGGGAGGGGGCGGAGACACAATGTCCCATACCCCCATTTATAGCTTTGTCAGGGGAGAATGCGAGGGGGTCAGTATCAAGCAAGGCCCTCGCCCCAATTCGGAAGTGTCCTATTACCTCGAACCCATACCCAATGAGTGAAATCGGCGACTATGATAAAGGTCTTACTTGGTATTATCGCCTTCGTATATGAGATCCTATCTACACAGACATTATCGCAGTATATTTTAGCAGAGTTGGTGTAATTTCGATTGCGCTATAATCTCTGCGCTTATCATGAACCAGTGAAGGAAATTTAGTGAGTCCGAAATATCTCGGAACATAAAAGTCAAGAGATTTTTCTTTGTTTTAAACAAGAAAAACAAATTGTTTTGACGAAACAAGCATAAACAGAACAAGTAAACAAATAGAGGCCACAATCGTTTTGCTCGCTTGCTTCACTTTGCTAATAACTATAAATACATTGCCCCGTATGCAAAGAACGTCCAAACGCAGAGTATAGGGTCCAGAAAAGTGATTTTCTAGTTGAAATAATGGATCACCATTGGCTTGGACTTCATATGATGAAAGGCAATATGCAATACATATAGTAATTAAGATGAATCTTTTAGTCTTTGCGACCGTGCTTTCTAAACAAGTCATGATAATGTAACGAGCAGAGGCGGCGCTTCCCTTCACCTTTTCAAGTACCCCATAAGTGCCCTCTTTAACTTCAGATAAGTGTCCTTTTTCCTTTCTAAGTACCTTTTTGTCCATGTGGTAAGCGCCCCTTTCCTTTTTTTTTTTATAAAAGCCCCTGCTCCTCTTCATAATTGCCCTTTTTCACTTCTGATCGATGCCCCTATTAGAATCTGATAGGCGCCCTTTATCTTTCGATCCCTTCATCTCTTGTGAGTGCCCCTTTTCAGATGCGAGAAGTTTCCCATTTTCACTTATGATAATTTCCTTTCTTAACGTTTACACGGGCTCCTTATGCTTTGTAATAAGTGTCCTTTTGCCTTCTGACAAGGGTCTCATTTTCATTTCTCCATGTGCCCGTAAAGCGACCAAGAGCATCTTCTTCTTTAATTTCTCCCAAAGCTCGCTCGCTAACCTCGCTCGGTATTTATAGTTGATATCATTATGCTATTCATTTAAAGTATATTCAGTCTTTCATGGTTATATTGTGCTTATAACCCCGTCAGGATCGGGTTTGTATTTTTCTTTTTTATGAGATGTAATTTTTCGTATTGGGACCTTACAAATCTTTAAATTGGTGCTCACTCGCTTCGCTTTCTCGCATATGAATATCCAGACAATCACACCGACTCAAAAAGTAATTTGCTTAAACACTATCTCGAACAATGTAAAGAGATAAAAAAATATTGAAAACATCCCAGGTAATGTAATCGCAATGTAGTGGTACATATCATTATCTAAACAAAAAGATTTAAGGAAGACTTTGGAAGACGCTCCTCCGCCCCTGGTGATGAAGCAAGGCAAGGAAGGGACTTAACAATAGTAAAATAGTGTATATAGTAAAGAAAGAAGTAGAACAATGTTTTGAAAATATAGTAAAGAAACCGATAATATAAATTGTATTCGGTTTCACCTCTATTTTCCCTTTACCCACTCATCTAATGCTATTAAATCTGTGACAAATCGCACTCATCCATTCAAAATCCGACCGTTGTCAACAGGCTTATGTATTCCCGTTGAAAATAACATACCACGTTTTCAGGAAATGACGATTATTTCGCGTTGAAAGTTTGGTGCCGAATGACGTCATGATGACGAAACGATGTCATATCTAAAGGCTGACTCTCTCCGGTCCTAACGTCAACTACATCCCATTTTTTTTTTAAATTGTGAGAAAGCAAAGCGAGCTAGCAAAGAAATTACGCTGCAGTTATGCTTAAAACGTTATATAGCCATCAAAATACACTAGGTAAGATATCTAAAATTGCATTATTCAAGCACCGCGCGCTGCCCGATAATCATTTACAAAATGTTGGAAAGGGGGGGGGGGGGCGTAGCCTACTTCCATTTTCTGGTAATAAAGGGAGGATGGTGAAGTGTAATTAGCCAATTCACGTTACTAATTACCTATCAGAAACGATGTTCGCTTGTTATAACCGTTCTGTATGGTCAACCAAACCGAGTCATAAGAGAACGTTTAGATATAATTCGTCAATCATATCTTGAACAAATTCCAACTATCTTGACAGTTAATCATTTAGAGTAAAGCATGTGATCATCTCCCTTTCAAATCATATTTACGTGCATTCTATAAGTTAATTCCCGTACATGCTAGCATGTGTGAATAACTAATTCTACCAAGACTTAGGAGTTCAAAACATTAGGCCTACCGTATTTAGGTATATTGGCCTACTGTCCATTAAATGAGACTTATCATTGGTCAAAATGAACGAATATGCACAAACTGTAAATAAAATATTCTTGGACAGGCTTACCTTAATTCTTTTCCTGGACTCTTGCTAGAAACGGCCCGTTCGGAGGAGATCGCGTCCAAATGCAAGCTGCACGGCGTTACAACGATCGTCTGCGCAAAGAGGGAAACTGAAAATCAGCGTAGCCGTTTCGCGCCCGAGATCCGTACATGCTAGCTTCGGGGGATAGTTTTTTATCTGACATAAACACAACTTCCGGTGCGGAAGAATGGCGGAGAGCGGAAAAGAACCATCGAGAGACCTTAAATTTCCTGCTTCTTTTTCATACTGCGTCGCTTCTAACAGAAGAAATGGCATTCCCTTACTCTTTTACAAAGACATTTAGAAACAAATAATCTCTCTCGTCACGCGCATTTCCGGCGATGAAATCTAGAGCTGGCAGCCTGTTAGCGACGGGTATTTAGATCGCTATTCGGTAATGGCTTTCAATAAATTAACTCCGAACTAAAATCTGAAGTCTTTGAATTTATGAATATCAATTTCGTATCAGCTTGGCCTTTCAAGCAAACTTTGTTTGTAATAGATAGCTCTCTCTGATCAGAAATAGTCAATAGCTTTCTTTAAAAAATCATTATAATTAGTGTACGATCTCGGCTCTACATAGTATGCAAAGGCAGGGCGACGTGGAAGTTAAACGCCCGAGAATAGTCGTTTTATTCTTTTTTTCATTATTAGTATGCTCCTTTGTCTCTTTGATTTTCAATTTCCACTCTTTAGGACGAGTACAAGACAAATATTGGAATGGAAGATCGGAATGCACATTTTACCTAGGCCTACATCACTACATGTTCTAACATTTCCAAACGCTCTCGTCGATACTGTAGGTCTCCTCGATGTCTCATTCATATTCGCCAAGATATATAATACAGTAAAGGCTTCTTCACTCATGACATGGCAAAACAGCGGCGGTTTAAAAAAAAGAAGATAATGGAACAATGTTAAACGCGTGATATTTCTGTATCTTATAACACAAAGCTCAGTGAATACGCGCAGTTGCCCCCCCCCCCTTTTTTTTTACACATTAAAAAAAAAAAGTCGGGGGCTTATATGAGGCGGTTTACCGCGTCATATTTGAACGAGCCAAGGCATCGTTTAAAAATATTAAATCTGAGATGCATGGCCCTACGTGTTATCAGTGTCTGAGATATGGTGTAATATTGAAGCCCTAACAAAATTGCCATTCAAAATTAGCATGAAGTGCCTTAAAAAGTAAAAAAAATCTTTGAGTGACCGGTTTTTACCATACTCATTTTTCCCAATGGACTGTGGTGGTATGAAAAAGAATTCTAAAATTTCTAATTCCAATCATAGATATCTTGATAATCAGACAGGCTTGTAATCGGCTTGTAAAAGTTATGGGATTTATATGACCGAAAGGTTTATAATTATGATTGCAGCCTGCATGAGCTAAATCCAAGATTTTTTTTAAGAATCTGAGGCAAAGTAACCCAATCCCTTTAAGTATCGATCATGGACTCATCCTTAATTAAAGAACAAAACACAAAAAGTATCTTTAGTGTGCACTATTCGAACGAAAATATAGTTACTGTGTAGTGAGAGCTTATGATATTTCAGAAAATTAATTGAATGTTGTTTTAATTATTGCATACGCTTGTATTGTCAGCGTTTAAAAAAACATACAGACCAATATTAAAATGCAAAATCTCAAAGTAACAACGTTAAAATGTCCTCCATGGAGGTACACACCCATCCTTTCGTTCCCGATATCCTGGTTCGTGTTATGATATACGCCCCAGCCCGTAATGGAAATACTTGTATATAGGCCTTCCCCTGCCATTCTAACGATACGATTATCGAAACATCATTAACTTATTTACGTCAGAATTTAGCGTGACTTAATGTGGGAATTGGGTAATAGTTATGTGTCCCTCTATTGTTCGATATTGAAGAAACCTCAGTCATGAAGTATCATATTGGTCAAGATATCAAAGAGTATTATTCTCAAGGGCAAGGCGCCTACGAGTTTCTAGTAAAATCCCAACTTTGCATTATAGGCCGCGAAATCGGGGAACATCGCGCCGAAGCCACTGGTTATGACACATACCCGCCTCTTGCTGCAACAGTTGCGGCTGGTATCGCTTACATTTTCACCAAGCTCAAGTTCGCACTCCCAGCAAAATTAATGATTTTGTAAACTAATCGTCTAAAGAATGTCATCGGGATGGGAAGTTAATCAATCGAGTGATGCAATCTACTCAGAATTGATTAATGTCATATTACCCCCCCCCCCCCCCCCACCTACAAACACACATCATTTTTCTTTACATACCACATATTGCATATTATGCGATAATTTGGCCGTATGATGATCTAGAATTTCATGATTTCATTTTTCACAAATTGAAGGGAAGATCCTTGGTCGGTAGATCCACTCCCTCGCACAATACAACAACCTATAATAACCTGGGTATTCCTTATGGAATTATGATCTATACACAAGCATCGGCTTAATTGCGTGAAATACACAGGACCTATATTCTGCATAACAAAATACGGAACTGCATAAAATATATTATGTCGTCTCGAAAACTCAGAGGATTTTTGGGCGGTTTATTAAAGGGATAGTTGAGTTCTGTTTTCAGACCGCAAATACCTTCAAAGTGCATGGTTATTGCTCTTATTCTTGTCTATGACATTTCTAGTGCCCTTTTAGAACCTAAAATTGCTATGAATGTAATTTTAGACCCCAATAATTATGTGTGAAATTTAGCCAGTACGATCATACCAATTCAGCTCCACTTTCAAACGAATACGGTGACTGCCTTAATTAATTAATTAAAAATAACAATGCATGAGCCGGCTGGTTTTGCTTAGTATTAACTAACACGAAAATGCCAACAAAAAAGCCAACATCGGCATTGGCTGGAATACGACGTAAAAGGCGCTATTTCGTTTTTTTTTCAACGGCTTTTTCAAATTACCTAATATTTGTGGTGGTACACAATTATATTTATGGATATTTCAGCCGTCTCTGAACGGATTTTGATCAAGCAAAGATGATTTTCTCATTTAAATTGTATGTTCTTTCAAATTTGACACTCAGTTTTTCATTATCTCACAACAAAATTATTTTGTGTAGCGCCCTCTGCAACAGAACTCAACTATCCCTGTAAGCTGTCTACCTCGTTGAGCAAACGGGCAAAGGGACTTAAATTTGCATGCGTGGTCTTTCATACAACAGAGTGCATTGGTAGACCTCAAAGAATGCTATCAAAACGCCTATAATTATATTGTCGTCACAATAATGTTCCCTTGAAAGGTGCGTTTCCCGGCTTTTGTCCTGGTGCTGGCCTAATTTATATGCAACAGAAGTCCTTCGAAGCCCCCTTTTTCATTAATTTATGAATTTATGAATACTATCAAAGAATAATATCAATAGGCCTACGCTTCCCCCCCCCCTCCCCTCCCAGGAAAGGAAAGAAAATCGCTGGCCTTGCATGCAGCATGAACTCATCGAAACCCTCTTGTTTTCATCATCTCAACAACAAAAATCAATCTAACACTTGTGGTTCCTTCTACATGTAGATGCTTTTAAATGTTGAATTTATTTCATTTGATGTGATTTGAGTTGATGCGAATTTATTTCTGTATATAATTATTTACATCACTTTTATATTTACAATCCTGTCAATGTTAGATTTATTACTAGATTTTTTGTATTTGATTGATTTATATACCAACAGCAAAAAAGTACCATTCATTTCATACAACGATATTTCCATGTACAAGAAGAAAAATGATTATCTATATAATGCCTCCAAGTCTTAAAAGAAATCAGTGAATTTAATATCTTTAGCGCAGTACCCGGATGACTGATCAATAATGTTTACGTATTGCTCAATCATCCGTGAACTTCAACTGTCGATATCGATATCACACGAAAACAAAGTCATATTTACCGAGGTAAGTCAAATTTGGTTATTTCGCTAGTGAGCCTGATATCGATAATAATAATAATTTGCTATGGCTTTGTTCTCGCGTGATACAAGAATATATTGCTCTCATAATATTGGACGAGTCAGAGACGAGACCAATATAGTCATAGCCGAGCAATATATTCTGGTATCACACTCAAAGCCATCCGAAATTATATAAATATTGGTTGGTAAAAGGGGCCAGATAATAGCATATGTGCTAGTCGATCCTAACGTCATACATCTAAACAATGTCATTTGTACAAGTTACCTTCAGAAAAACAAAAATACCAACAAAATATTTACCATTACAATCAATACTAAACAAATATAACACTTATACAATGTCTTCCAAGATACAAACTGATAATATGAAATAGAATTTTTCGTACATATACAGACTGATTGATGGGTTTTTAATTCATGATTTGTTCAACAAAATACAGAATCTGACATTAATAGGTAATCTATTCCAAAATTCACCGTACCAAAAAAGACAACGAATATCAACCTTGTGTCATTCCAAATTTCAGGAGACGTAATTTTTCTTCTTCTGTTTGCCTTGTGGAGTAGCTTTACTCTAGAATATCATAGTAATTCAATTCAATTCAATTCAATTCATTTATTTGTTCAACCATCAAAATACATATACATTAAAATAAGTTACATAAAAAATGTTGAGGAACACATTGATGGTTTGGTGACCCCGGAGAAAGCAGGGCTTATAAAAAGGGGCCACCAAATTGAAATACATAAAAAGATAAACAATACTTATACAAAGAAATCTATCAAAATATGAGGCAATTTTTTATTAAACAGATCAAACATGAAAATAGAGATTGATAGATAATCCAAATTATACAAACTTTCATAAATGGAAATACATAAAAAGATCAACAATACCTATACAAAGAAATCTATCAAAATATGAGGCAAATTTTATTAAACATATCAAACATGAAAGTATAGATTGATAGATAATCCAAATTTTACAAACTTAGGATTCGCAATCTTGTAAGTAGCAGAGCTGTAGGAGTTCTCCAATCTCTAAATGCAAACAAGTAAGAACTACAATTTTCTGTGAATACAATATGCTTCTTAATAGGCTAACCTTAAAATGCTCCCCCACACCTATATTCCGCAGGTATTGTGTGGTTTTATTCACGTTTTATATGATAATGTCGAGTAAGCCTAGGAACAAAATGTCGCAATCTAAATAACTCTATAACTTTCTTCGTAAAACACTGATTTACATATTATCATTAACGAATATTATGACTATTCCATGACAGATGTCTATCATAAGTGGCAACATCAACCTATTTAAAATCCTATCCAGCTATTTTCAGTTAACCATTTACACCTTTCTTTTTATTTTTTTTTACTTCTACTACTTAGTAACATGAAATACGTTTTCATTGAATTCATTGTAAGTTTGTTAGCAATAGACCAATTTTCTAGGTATTTTTAATTACTTCATCCACATTAATTTCGTCCTGGTTAAGTGGAAAAATAGGAATTATGTTAGGATCATCGACAAAAAGCAGCAAATTGAAATAATCAGTTACTGATGGCAGATCATTTATCTAGATACAAACAAAGTTGGCCCTAGTACTGATTCTTGTAGAACACCACATCTTATCTTATTCCTTATAGTTTAACCACGTTGAACAACCCGGTTCTGTTACTAAAATAGTCCTTAAACCATGCAAGAGGTAAAACTCGAATGCCATATTACAGAGTTAGCTAGTAGTATATTAAGAATTATGGTGTCAACCGTGCTTTCTTAAATCGATGAATATGCCAAGAGTGAATTTCACTGCTCCGTTCCTGGAAAAGCAATTAATGTAATAATCTTGATGCAGTGCAGCGTATAACCTTAGAGTATACCTTTACTTTACCTTTATATTTTTCGAGCAAATCTAATGATTGTGGTTTTTTAAACCAATTGACAGGCAGTTGGTGGATTACAACAACCATATAATGCTATGTTCACAGGTTGTCTGATTAACGAGCCATAGACCCTGGATTAAAGGGTGACGTGGAACACATTGAACTTGCTCCCTCATCACTGGTGTCTGTGTCATCATCTTCTATTTGATCATTCCGAGGATCAGCTGACTTCGTTTTCTCAAACGCATAGTTCTCGCAGAGCTCTTGGCAATCCCCACGATTCATGCGTTCGAACGCCTTGGCCAAGTCCCCAAGGTTCCGAATCTTCCTTTGAATCTCAGCAAGAACGAGTAGTTCTTCAGTCGGATTCTTGCACTGCTCCAGTGATTGTATGTAGTCTTGAAGTCCAAGCTGATTGGCAAGACCCCTCCAGTCATCAAAAACTGGGCTTTCTCTGTTCAACCGACAACGCAACTCATGCTGTAGCATAGGAGGTACTATGGAAGTAATGGGAACAGGGGGAGAGGCAACAGTATTTCCTTGAGTATTATTCCCTTGGGGATTGTTGATGACCATCTCTCGGACGTAGATATTGACGTTTCCAGAACGCTGATGCACTGGATCTGCTAAAGGTCCTGGAACCAATTCTTGGACAACGTTTGCCGCAAATGCCTGTGGGGCTAAGACTCCCATTGTCTCCTCTGCTGCAGACTCCAATGAATAGTCGGGCACTGTCGATGATGTCGGAGATTAAAACAAATTCGAACAAAAAATGATATGTCGTAAATCAATAACATCGTTCAAATTTCTGAAGAGAGTGTAAAGGAAATAAGTGTAAGTTCCAGCAACTATTTCAGGTAGCCTATACCCACTTATTACACATGGGACGAGTGTAGCATATATAGATTAACGTTTTGCCAAAGGATATCTGTAACATTAAATCAAATGTCAGTAACCATTCACCTTGAAGTTACGATTGATTGAGGAGATAAGATTATTTTCTGGGAGATACAATTGCATTTTGTATTACAGAGCCCAGAACACGGCTTTATCTTTTAAATCCTTACCAACTGTCTGTTTTTCTGTTATCAAGTCATCTGTGACTTGGTAGGCATGTTCACATGACGGTGACTCTATCGATGACGGGGTTAACGGCCTAGGTTTTGTAAGTGCTTCAGTAGGACTACTTCTATCTGAAATAAAGCAACGAAAAAAAAAGCGTTTAGAAAATGATTAAACCACACTCTGACTTGTGCTGTAAAGAACTCTAACTGATCCGATATCATCGCGAGTCTACCCTCGAATTGTATTTTATTACTTTTTTGTATTGACATGATTGAGATAATATCATGGAACATGTAGTTTAGAGATGAAATTGTTCAATTTACAGAGTAAAAATCATACGATGTAAAAATACATCAATAATATAGTAAAGGATATGATTTTAAAAAAAGGCCAATTTCATGAATATCGGCCCCAAAAAGCGGTTCTAATGACCCCCCCCCTTCCCCCAAAAGAAGCACGTGTAGAAAACGAAAGCTAGAAGACCCCACACCATGCTACCCCTACCCCCAAAAGATAATATGTATTCCTCCAGAACCGCTCCTGATAGGACTTAGTCTTACCCTTTGTGTCTGCAGGCTCAGGTGATGGCGAACCTATTGTTTTAAGATGATGCCCGCTTCTTGTCTGCTCTTCGGGGAGCTGAGGTGCTGAAAATGTAATAATCAATCAAATCAGAATAGCAAAAATACAAAGAAGTTTTTCATAGATCTTGCACTCATGAGTACATCGCAAGATTAAAAGCTTCTGTGTGTCTCCTTACAATGTAATTTGTTCGATTTTGTTCAAATTGTCTCACATTTAAGGATATTGTTTCATGTACTTTAAATTATTTTTAATTAACTTTTATTTCCTTACACCCATGAACCTGTTTCTTAGGTGTATTCTGATCTAATGTATGCATTGTGTACCTATGTATGTATTATGTCCTAATGTATTGTTGTTCCTTGTGGATTTGTATCAATGAACTTGAAATTACACTTGAACTTTAACTTCAACTTGTAACAAGCACATCCAATTGAAAGCGTTTATTTTTTTACACACACAAAAGTTTGTGTATGAAACCAACAAACAAAAAACAAAAACAGGAATAATAGTATTAATACTTATTTTGTCTAATCTTACATTTCGATGTTCCCCGTACAACATCAGTTGGTTCAGCTTTGCCTTTGGACGATGCAGTTCCTGTCGGGGTTGATTGGGCAAATGGATTCTCATGCGGCACATCTAAATTGTGAATACATGATTACAACGTGATGAGAAGCGATTAGCCTAAAATAATAATTATTCCAAATTGGAGTCACTTGCCATGGTGCTTTTGCTACACTGAATGAAATGTATAGCATTGCACGTAAAAATAATGTACATAATAAAATACAGGGCTGCCCAATACAAACGGACTTCCAATGATGTGGGTCAAATTCGCTGTTATCAGTAGTAGTAGAATCTTATCGTATACTCGTATAATCGTATAATCTCATGTCTTTCTTACACAACTATTTAAAATGCCTCCCCAAAAAAATGTTTGTGGATGTTATGTTTGTGTTAAATCTGATGTTTTGTCACAGCTTGCCCGAAGCTCAGGCAAATAACCATTCCTAAAACTGCACAAGAATACGCTTTTCTCTGCCAGTGGAAGTCTTTAAGCCACCCCCTACCCCAAAGAAGTTCTTGCCCTTGATATTACCGTTGTACAGTACTTTGAAGGCGATACGCTTCGTGACTTTTTGCTTCAAGATGAACATGACGGGAACTTCAGATGCTTCACGTGGCTGAAGAGAGAACGGCATCCGATGTGTCGTCATGTGGAAGAAAGCACATTCTTCAAGTTCCTAAAGAAATCAGAGATAACCATCAATTAACACCCTACGAAATTATCAATTATTCATTGCATTTTCCCCCGGTCCTCAGCGGAAAAAGATCCCATGTGGCCATGCCTTGAACCATAATTCATGGCCGTGCAGAGGAATTTTTTCTGTTGGGGACCGGAGGAAATTCAATGAATTATTGATAATTTATTGCATTTTTTTTGTTTTGTTTTTATTTGTGGGGGCTGCCCCCTAACCTAACCCTCGCTGTGTACAGTCATGATTCATTGGCAAAGCAATGGCCTCGTAACTGTGAGGACCCAGGATAAAAATATATATATTAGGCTCTACCGAATAAGAAACAGACGATTTGTTTTGTCAGGATAATTTAACTTCGGGGGAAACTACAGCATCAAATATATTGAGATTCTTACCTGTGTTGACACTTCGTGTTCGTTTTCCAGATGTCTGACAAATAGGGGTCCTTGTCCCCAATATACACAGTACTGCTCACCAGAAAAGGCTACCTTGTAGTCTTGTATGGTATTCTGCAAAGGGTTGGACATATATGGATCCATATTGACACAATGATGATGACAATAATAGTAATAACAATAAAAAATAGTTGCAATAATTGCAATAATGCTGTTCTTCAAGAGGGCACTGAAATGTACTGGAGCAATTGCAAGGTATACCCATATACACTCTGGCGGCAATTATGGGTGAATCTTTTATGAGTCTCGAATTGATTATTTACTTCAAGATGCGAAATGTTTATAGGGTTTGAATATTATATCTGTGATTTGTTTTACATTTGTTGTGACCACGTACCCCCCCCCCCTCTGCCCCCCTGCCCCAACCCCTCCTCCCCGTCCGTTCACGAACCCCTCTACTCAGAAAACGTTGCACAAAAAAGTATTGACATCGTAACCACTGGAAGACCGGAGACACCAAAAGAAAGTTATTTCAATGAAGTTAATGAACATAAACATGTAATATAAGTTGCATGGACTTACTTAAGGATTTCCTGCCTATTTTAACATTTATTTAACTCAAATTCTTGTTCACCTAAAATTATGCCGAACTGTTAAAGATGAAGTTGAGTTCTGGTCATGCGATTGCATTGTGAAAGAAACGGTGTGAAATCGACCAGCAAAGGTTGATCATCTAGCATAATAGAATTTGTGTGTAATGCAAGGTTCTGGAATCATCAAAATGATAAGAAATTTGGCAAAGTCTTGGTAAAGTTACAAACACTGTACACAGAAAGATGTATATGGGACTACACGGACACGTGGCGTAAAAACCTAACCCCCCCCGAGTTTTACGAGTTACATGACATATTTAGAATATAAAGGCATTTGAAGAGCCATGCTTTTCAGGGAACATGTCTTATCTGATGTTCTTCCACACTTGCATAATAAGAATGATAACGCTCACAAATTATTTTTCACCTCTTCCCAGAACTCAACCTTCTCTTTTATTCATGATAAATCTACCTCTTTCTTGCCACAGAAGTCGTCTTTAATATCGAGAAAGATGTAGTTCGTGACGTCTCTGGATGTTGACAGGGGAACGTATGGCGTACAGATGAGCCGTTTACCGATGAAGTATCTCCAGAAGTATCTCCCGATAGAGGAGATAATCCACCATTCCGAGAAATGGTCTAAGTACAGAGTAAGGTGATTCTTTGCGACTACACACCGAGCAGCTTTGTCAGAAGCAGGAACTATCCTTGAAAATTCATCAGACCCTTTCAACAAGACACACATAGAAAGAAGGGACCGTGTTAATTTTGTTACGCGGTGAACTGTCAACGCTCAGGGATTTAGTATAACAAAGTAAGGAAAGTATTTTGTGTAAGGTTCGCAGATTGACTGGGAAGCTTTGTTTGAGGGTAATTGTTTATTCATGAGCAATATCGTTAACAAAATGTCAACTGCTATTTGGTGATTGGCTATTAACAAACAATTTCATGTATTAGATCATGTCTAATATTTGTTTGTTTAATTCCTACAATTCCCTACGATCTTTCCACAAGAATGTGGAAAATGGCGGCTGTATGAACTGTGCAACTAATAAGTTATTCAAACACAAAGACTGAAGAAAAAAAATTAAGTGAATTTCTATTCTAATAGAAGTTTATCAAGTAAAACTCAGTGAATACGATCATTCTGAAAGGAATATCAACATTGAAGTGAGGTCATATGATACCAAGAATAGGAGGAAAGGATTAATTTTGTGTGAAGATCTCTGTCATAATTGTGATGGGTTCGTCGTGGCAGTCAGGGGCTCTCTGCACTGTCACAACAAGAGAAAGGAATTTATATGGACATATGGGATATATGGTAAAAGGAAGATCTTACCAGTTCTTCGGGTGTATAGCACAATTTCTGCCTTGTCTGGGTTGGTGGAAATAGCGCTATGCAAGACCGTGACTTCCACCGGAGTTTTAAACTGAAGACCAGGAGGGGATAGCTTGAGCCCAACTGAGATGATAACTTCGTCTTTTTCCAGGTTTAAGTCATGTGGAACGGTTGTCAATGCTTCTGCTGTGATATATTTGGCTCTGTCCACATCGTCTGGTGAAATTGGAACCTTGATGCTGCACTCGTCCAGACTAATATTCATTGTCTCTTTTGTGTTTCTCTTCCTCATGAAACGAGAAATGTCTTGTGTACTGGTACGATATGGATTGTATGTACGGGAGTATGGGGGCATGAAGCCAGGGAAAGCCTCACCACGAAAGGTACTGCGAAGGTAGTCATGGTGGTCCTCTTCATTAGCAAGTTTCCCCGGGTCTGCACCTTTCCTAACAAGGTATTTGACAATATCAAGATGACCCTTGAGTGAAGCTATGTGAAGAGCTGTTATCCCATCTTTATCACCAATTTCGATACCTGCTCCTTTGTTAACGATATACTCGACGACGTCGAGATGGCCTTCTTGAGAAGCACAAAACAAGGGTGTCCTGTCGTTTTTGTCACGTTTGTCAAGCTGTGCCCCTTTCATAACAAGGTATTTAACAACATCAAGATGACCCTGGAATGATACTCTGTGGAGAGCTGTAACCCCATATTTATCACCAATTTTAATGCCTACTCCTTCGTTCACAAGAAACTCGACGACTTCAAGATGGCCTTCTGCGGAAGCCCAATACAAGGGTGTCCTGTCGTTTTTGTCACATTTGTCAAGCTGTGCCCCTTTCCTACCAAGGTATTTGACAACATCAAGATGTCCCTTAAAGGATGCTTTGTGAAGAGCTGTAACCCCATCTTTATCACAAATTTCAATGCCTGCTCCTTCGTTCACAAGAAACTCGACGACTTCATGATGGCCTTCTGCTGAAGCCCAATACAAGGGTGTCCTGTCTTTTTTGTCACATTTGTCAAGCTGTGCCCCTTTCCTACCAAGGTATTTGACAATATCAAGATGACCATTGATTGATGCTCTTTGAAGAGCTGTAACCCCATCTTTATCACCAATTTCAATGCCTGCTCCTTCGTTCACGATATACTCGACAACTTCAAGGTGGCCTTCTTGGGAAGCACAAAACAACGGTGTCCTTTCGCTTTTGTCACATTTGTCAAGCTGTGCCCCTTTCATAACAAGGTATTTGACAATATCAAGATGACCCTTGAATGATGCTCTGTGGAGAGCTGTAACCCCATATTTATCACCATTTTCAATGCCTGCTCCTTCGTTCACAAGAAACTCGACGACTTCAAGATGGCCTTCTGCGGAAGCCCAATACAAGGGTGTCCTGTCGTTTTTGTCACATTTGTCAAGCTGTGCCCCTTTTCTACCAAGGTATTTGACAACATCAAGATGACCATTGAATGATGCTTTATGAAGAGCTGCAACCCCATCTTTATCACCAATTTCAATGTCTGCTCCTTTGTTCACGATATACTCGACGACTTCAATGTGGCCTTTTTGAGAAGCCCACGACAAGGGTGTCCTGCCTTTCTTGTCACATTTGTCAAGCTGTGCCCCTTTTCTAACAAGGTATTCGGCAATATCAAGATGACCATTGAATAATGCTTTATGAAGAGCTGTAACCCCATAATTATCACCAATTTCAATGCCTGCTCCTTTGCTCACGAAATACTCGACGACTTCAAGATGGCCTTCTTGAGAAGCACAAGACAAGGGTGTCCTGTCGGTTTTGTCACATTTGTCTAGCTGTGCCCCTTTCTCAACGAGGTATTTGACAATGTAAAATGACCCTCGAATGATGCTATGTGAAGAGCTGTAAACCCATCTTTGTCACCAATTTCAATATCTGCTCCTTCGTTCATTAACAGCTCTACCACATGAAGATGGCCTATCTTTGAGCATAAGTGAACCGATGTCTGTAGGTTAGCATCGATTACATTCACGTTTGCTCCAAGATTGGTAAGGCATTTAACCGTTTTCAAATGTCCATTTTCCGAAGCAATGTGGAGGGCCGTCTTGCCTGACGCATCCGAGCAGTTTACATCAACTCCTCCCGAATCCTCTGACTTGTCCTCCGAGTCGATTAATGATTGTATCTTCAGGAAGTCTCCTTTTGCTGCTGCTGAAAACAGCGCCATGTTTAACGCAATTCACACCCACAACGTTTTTCTCTTGATGATAATATATCACCGTGCTCTCCAAACACCATGTTTCTTATTGTAATGTGACATTGAACTACTGTGTAAATTAGCCCGTACCCTGTTATACCGATGATATTTGATCTATTCTGAAGGAATACTCAAGCGTGATTATATGAAAGCATTACATAAATTGGACTTTGCATTCAGATCCGTATTCGGCTGTAGAAGTCTGCCTACATTACTGTACTGCGTATTGCGACAATACAGTCGTATTGCCTTGCCATTCCTCTGTATTTATTTGGGCCTGAACTATACCTGGTTTCAGATTAATTTTGCGCGAAACAAAAAGAACATGGCGGATCAATATTTCATTACGCCTCATTCATAACCAGTGCTAGGTTGATTCCCCCTTCCCCACGCACACAAACACACTCACTCAAACACATCGAATACTAAGAAATATGAGAGAAAACAGGAAAAAGAGAGAAAGATGAAAAGGACAGAGGAAAATAAATGAATACAATCTCAACCATCGCTTTTCTTTCAAACTCTACATGTGTAATTCTGTAACCTGCTGATGTAGAGTACTCGCTTCATTGATCTAGAAGTGGCAGAATATAAACCAAATTTGTCAGTATATCTCCATCAATAATAAGCATTATGAGATGCTAACAGAGTGCTAGTCATTCGTCTTTCTCCATGTACATATATTATGTACTTTGCTCAAAATGTATTACTTTCATAATTCTCATATTGAATACATTCTCAGAATTTTGTTTACTAAAAAAAAATGGACTATCATCCTATATCTTGAGAATGAGTTCTAAAAATAAAAAAGACAAATTTTGATTCATGTGTGGTTCAACTAACAGAAGATGCCAGACCGACTAAAGACCGGACACACTATAACATTGCCCCGAATCGCTAAGAATCGGTCGATTTGAAGTCGGTTTGGAGGTATGATTAATACCCCAGTCACACTGGCACACCGGCTTCGTAACGGCCCCAACGATTTCAAACTGACTTATTGTTGGCCTCTGTGGATAATGTAATCGGTGCTCTGCTCTGGTCTGGGTGCACGTGGATGTCTTTGTATTTGATTTGTCGTAGGTACGTAGTACAAGATAAGATTCACTTCTATTTTTCTTTATGGATCTTTTTGGTGGACTATAAATACTTAAATATCACCTTTAATTTTTGTTCCCTTCAGCAGACAATATTATGGTTCGTGATTGTGATTTCACTATCCTCCAAAGACAAGTGTTCCGATTTTATTATTGTTATAGTGATGGATTTTAACAATCTATCCTTTCTTATACTTTTCTTTCCTTAAAGGAAAAAAGAATCAGGGAAAAAAACAAAAGATCCCAGATATTTCAGATATTTTCTGAGTGCAAGGATAAATATGCAGATATTATTTTGCAAGAAATATATGGAGTTTAATGTGGGATGGAAGTTTGTCATTTAAGTCATGGTACTTTACACAGTAACGGTGTTCTTGTGTTGATTAATTCACATTTAGATTTGAAGGTTCTTTCTTTAATGTTAGACCAATTTCAGAGATATATTCCGATGAAAGATATTCAACAGGATTTAGAAATTATGATACTTGCAAATGTATATCTACAAGTACGAGGAAAGGTGTTACAAAGGCTAGAGTTTTTGCCTGAATTTGAAAAGAGATTCGAATGATACGGGTAGGGGGAATGAGATACTTATTATAGGAGGATATTTTATTATGACAAGTAGTCTGATATCGGTTTAATTTATATTGTTGAGATATAAGTTGAGAAAGGATTGGTCACACATAAACATCAACAATTAAATTGGTCTGAGTAGAATTATTTGTAGACCAGTTCGTAAATAGCACATAGTTCAAATCACCTCAAACATTCTCAGATATCTAACTTCTGTACAAAGTAACCTAAGTCTGCCCATATCAAATTGTATACAAACTGGTGTACTGGATCCGTGAAAGTCGTTGCTGAAGGTTCATTTGTGGGTTCATCTGTTGGTTGAAATACCCTAGCTATACCTTTAATACAGTATTCCGAAAATCAGAAGTTTTCAGAATATCACCCAAACATGTATTTCTTTGTGGAATGAAATATATATTGCCCCTAGAATGTTCAAAACCCTGTGGCGCTGAATTTTTTTAAATCATTGCCAAGAA